ACATACAGATATAAATAAAATATTTTTGTTAACCTGTTTTTATTTCATCTGATTCAAGCATTTTGTACTACGTTAATTGGACTACCCCTGTGTACGAGGATTTATTAACAATGCGCATAATATAAAATGCTGAATAAAGTGAGAATATATCGGTGTTTCCTGTTAAAGGTAACGAGTTAAAGGTAACGAGTGGATGTAATATACACGAGCACCTTGTATAATTTCCTTGAGACGTCGAATATTTAGTCAAACGTAATTTTCTTCCAGATTAGATATTGTAATGAAGGGCCGTTCTTTAATAAAATAATTCTTTAGCAAAGGGCGGTACGTTCCTGCAGAATAATATTACGGTAAAGTTTTAATAATATTCCAGAACTTAAACATCTTTAACGTACTCTGAAGTTATCAATGAAGTTAATCTAGCTCAAATTAGTATAATTAAAAACGGTGAAGTTCTTAATGTTAGTTTCTAAAGTTTCTGACAAGTTGTGTATCACAGTTTTCTTTCTTCTCTTTTTCTTCCTCTTTCAAGTTATCAAAATATGAACGTATTAAATCGATCTGGCTCGCTATGTCATAATAACGGGAAAAGAAATTCTTTCCCTTTCTTTTTTTGTCTGTGTGTGTGTGTGTGTGTGTGTGTGTGTGTAAACTTCAAGTTGAACTTACGAGTTCGGATTTACCTTGTGTTCGTTTACGTTCCTTTACGTGATCGGAAACTTCATTAAAATTAAATTGCTAGACATGCAAGATTGCATGTCATCAATCTTCTACCGAGGGTAAAGCGGAGTAGTAGTTAACAATAGGGAGACGAGATGAGATTATCGCAGCTTGTTTGTTACTTGATAATTGGATTAGCCTTAATAACAGTTACACGAAGCTTTTCTGTTACATCGTTATATTTCGTTTCGATGTGTGTTATTGCAAAAACCCAATAACTGGCCAATTCGTCAATATTTATTTATCTGAGAAGAGGAAACTATCTTTCGTCAATTGGGAAATTTCCTAATCTCCCAAAAAACTTCTGTTAAAAATTCAGAAGTATTTTGTTGAACAGAAGAACGATATCAATTCGATAACGATCGTTCGAAAGGGATTAAAATTTGAATTTCATTAGAAAACTATTTCAGGTGTTAATTAATCGTGTTTCGTAGAAACGCAGCTATAAAATTCAATGTGTCATCGAAACTACACGGAAAGAATATTAATAACAATAATTACATTAGTTGAATGACGTTATAAATAACAGTTGTTCCCCTCTTCAACATTTTTCTATCCACCAAGTGGCATGAAGATCGAAAAGTCGATAAAAATATATTCCTCGTTTAATTTTCACACAATGAGCAATTTGACCGATCAACAACATCTTCCACCGCCAGAAAGAATTTTCCTCTCTTTTTTCTTTTTTTATTTGTTTCAAACTAAAAATCCAGACAGAATTGGAAACGACCGAATGGAAATACGCGACGAATTTCGGACTTATTTTCATCGAAGGTCTTTTATTACCCGGCTAGCAACGTTTACAGGGGCGCCGGATGGAACGCGATCCGCAAATTGTCGCGCGTTTTCGGTCGCAGTTCAATTACACAGACGACCGCCACACGACAAAAGTCGGTGGCTTTCCATCCTGCAGCTTCCTCTCGCCATTTCCTGCCAGCCTAACGCCGCGAAACGAAAGCTTTTTCGCGCTCGCTCGTCAACTTTATGACGGCTTTTTTCATCCGAAAAATGCCCGTCAGCGCGATTTTACGATTTATCTGGCCCGATGACACGGCCCGAAACCCGTAAACGCTGCCCAGCCACTTAGAAATTTTACAGCTCGCGCGAGAACGCTCGCCACACTGGCCAGATTACCAAGCATTGGCAACCATACCGTTGTATTCTACCGCGGCGTCTTTTGCTCGTCTTACTTTGCGTGGCTGACTTTGAGAGACGGATAATTGGCAACGTTGAAGCCTTGCAATTATGCTCCCCACCTACAGGTTAATTCTCCGAGTGAAACGTAATGAATTATCGCGCTAAATTCTCAATGTATTTCTAACCCTTTTGTATTTACTTATTTGTGTCTATTTGTTGGTCGAAATTGTTTAATGCAATGACTTTAAATTCATACGTTCCGTGATTAATATTTCGTCATTTGTTTACGTGTAGATACAATGCTATTGTTCTTCCGATCGTGTGTCTGAAAGATAATTGTAACTGCGAAATTAAAGAATTGGAATTGTAAAAGGTAATGAAGAATTAATCGTCATCTGAGCAATTTCTTTTTTTCGTTTTTTTTTTTCTTTTTTTCATTGACTTGTCAATGAATACAAGAATAAATTTAAAATTTTGCTCTTTCGAAATATACGTATATTATGCACATGATAATTTAACGAGTATATCATATTATTATTGTACTACAAATGTAATTAATTATATTATTGCCATAGTACAGGAAATTTTGTTTTTAAAACTTACAAATTTTAGCTAAGAGAGCTATTTTAAAAAGAGACCAAACTCTGTTATAAAATTCATTTCCTAAGAAACAAACAAATTCACGATACCAAAATATATTTCAGTAACTACTGAAATTTCTGTAATTCATTTTGACTTGAAAAAAAAAAAATAATAATAAAAGTTACGAAAAACAGACAGACAAGTCCACAATCCGTTTGATAATAAATTGAAGTTATAATTTGAGACGCGAACGTTTCCATAAAAATATTCAAACGTCTATGGGAACGTTTCCATAACGATATCAGCGATATAACCCCGTGGAAGAACTTTTTTTTTTCCCCCGTGGCCATAGCCAATTGTCGATCGTTTCGAATACGTGGTATAAAAACGTATCCGCTTCACAAAGGAATTACAAGCAGAAATTGTTCGAATGGAGTTCGCCTCGTGGGCGCCTGTCAGGTCGAACAGGAGGGGGCGAATAAAATGCAAACAGAAGAGCGGCAGGCCGTTTAATCGAGCCGACGCGACGAGAGAGAGAGAGAGCGGGGAGGGGGAGGGAGAAAGGAAAGGACGAAGGAAGGAAAAAACGTAACGAAAACGTAACCAATATATCGTGGAAAGGTGGAAATAAAACGTGGTCGCCACGTCGATTGATTCGTTTATTGAACAGCCGTCTGTCGCAGGCCACGGTTTCTCCAATTATCCAATATGTCGCCCGGTCGTGCTGGTATTCGGTGTCTCTAGACGCTTCCGTTAGGCAGAACCAATTCCCTCCCCCGCCCATAAATTCAGAACTGGTTTTTTTCAATGTTTCGTATTGATTGGACGTTGAACTTTTTAGAGTTGCGCACGACGTTGCTGCGTGATAAAATTGAGAGCTGGCTCGAAGGGTTGTAAATTGCAATGTTGATCACACGTCCTGGCAAAAAATTGAACTTCATTATCCGAAAAATTTCTGTTTTCCCATTAGGTTAGACGAAAGGAATGCTCTGACCCTAAATTAAAACCCATCCTGCACGGTGTTGCTTCCGACTCGGCGAAATTCCTTGATTTTTGCCAAGCAAAGCTCCCCGCGTAAATGAAAGAGGAGGCAAATTTATTCAGACGAGGAAATTCAAGCAGCATTATCGTTCGGAAAATCCAATTATCACGTACCGTCGACTCGGCGGTGATGTAAATTCTGGTCTTTTTTTTTTCTTTTTTTTTTTTTTTTTCATGCAACGCGAACTCGTGACCGCAACTGACACGCTCGTGACACGTTCTCCATCCCTGTTGCGCCCGCGTCTCTGTGTACACGTGTACACAGAGAAACACAGGCTGAGCCGTCTAGCGTAGACGATCTAACGCAATATCCCAAGCTGAGCCATCGTCTCTGCATCTTGCATCTCCTGTAAGAATAATATAAAGGTGGTGCAAGCTGCAAGGTGAGACAGCTGTAAGGCACCGGAGGCTACCGGGGGTAAGATTGAGAAGCTCGGCGGTTGAATAAAGAGGGAGGAACCAGCAGTCCTCGATGGGTGGACGAGGACTGCTGGAAAATCAGAAAGTCAAGTTGCATCAAGAAAATTCGAAGGAAATTTCCCACCGTCTCTCGGCGTCGAGATTTTCATTCTTACCCAGCCAGACTTTGTTCGAACTCTGCCTTTTCCAACGAGCACTGCCGGATATCAGTCGAATTCTTATCGGTTCGGTTCTTCGCCGATTTTTATATCTCGTGCGATTAATATTCAGCTATTAAGGATCGTGTGACGAACGACATTTTAAAGAAAAGCACGATGATCTTGTTGTTGATATAGGAATGTTGAAAGATTTGAGAACTCGAAAACCGAAAGGGCACGAAATCTGAAAGTTGCAGAATTTGAAATGCTATTCACACTGAAGTTTTACCATTCGGAAATTTGGAAATTCGGAGGTTTAAAATGGAAATTTTGGTGTTTGAGAGTTCGTAAAATCGAGTGCTATGCTTGTAATATTTAAAAATTAAAAAAATTGTGATATTTCACGCTCAAATCCTTCAGTCACCAAGCGTTCCTAAATCTAAGCATTACCGAATTTTAAATATTTCTAAATATTCTTTATCAATCATCATTAGAATGATTAAATAATTATCCTCCATTTAATCATATATTTAATCAAATTCCATTATTAATTATAAATAAAATAAAAAATATTTTTAATAAATAAAAGTTATTTTAATATGGCAGAATGGTGCTTTGAATTTAAGTTTCAGATATAAAATTTTCTATTTTTATTAAAAATTTCAACATGAAATATAATTACATTTCAAGATTCAAATTCTCTATATTCAGATAATTTAATTTCATTTCATAATTTTATTGTATTATTTATTATTATGATTATTTCATTATTATAGATTTAATATTAAATAAAAATTTACTTAATATTAAAATAATAATAAATAAATCAACGATTGATAAAGAATATCTAAGAAAACATTCCCCTGCGTCGTCTCTCTTCTCTTTCGTCTGTTTCCAAGAAATGTGCTTAGATATTGAAGGAAAACCGACAATTTTTTTTTTTTTTTTCTTTTTCTTTTCCAGTTCGACCGCTGAAGATGGATTTGAACGGTGTGGTGGGCCACGTGGTACAAGGGACGAAGGTTTTGCTCGAGTGTACCGTGCGAGCAGCCAGGCCCGCGGCGAACATCACCTGGCAAAACGGTACCGAGGTCCTGAACGAAAGTAACGACAGACTCCAAATGCACGAGACGAAGGTCGAGGAGAACGTGAGTACCAACTTCGAAACTTACTGAACGTCTGCCGTTGCAAAATTGACATGCACTATATCTTTTTTTATACTTCCCTTCGTCAACGACGCGACATGCTTGTTATGCTTGCGTGCAGATTAATAAATAGAATAAATAAACGACAGATTGATAGACTAATCTCAAGTGAAATTGGTAGAAAGTTATTCTTGTCGGATTCACGGACAGTCGAGACTGTTTTATTTAATTATGAATTTATTTATGAAATTTTATCGAGATTATTGCCGTGAAACTAAAATTAACCCATTAACTATTAATTAGCTCTAGTCTGATATTCGAAGATATTTAATTATTATCCGTATTGATGGATTGAGTTGAAATTATTAATTTTATTCCTCCGTGTTTTATATTTCAAGGGTTTCAAGTGGTTTTGAGCACACTCCAACATTTCTGTTTGAAAGGAAAGGGTGCACATGTAGAAAATGGAATTAATTTTCATCAAATTCCTCGAACTGACTTCCATTTTCCTTCATTAATTATTTATTTTCATCATTCTCATTCTCTTTGGGACATTTTCTTTGACGTCAGCCCACTCTTATTAAAACGAAACGTACTTCCAACGCTCCCAAAAATCCTCTTTATCAAAGTTAAGCGTAACAATCGCGTTCGTTTCAAAGTCGAGAAACCTATTTTTAACGAGTACGAACTTCTTCAACAAAAGTGAACGTACATTCTATACGATTGATCGAGTGCATCATTGCATCATTCTTTATCGGTAAAATTCAACTTTAGACTACCTGGAAACGCCTTTATAAAAAAAACATTATCCTAAAGTCGTCGTATCTCACTAGCTAGGATCACGTCGCAGTAAATCAGTTTGGAATTATATTACTATTTCATAGCTGAAATTTCTTAATGGCATTTCTTCGAACGTCAGCTCGAACGCGTTATTTTAAGTAACAAAGTGTCGACTTGATGTCTCTCGCAGCGAGTTCACGAGCAATAAACTCAGGACTCACGAATAAATAGGATTCGCATAGTACTTGAAGCGAGAAAGCAATTATTCAAATGCAAGGTACTTCGCGCAGAATTTCGACTCGTGATTCCTTCAGATCGTTCGCCTCGAGTTAATCCGATTAATCGTGATGTTCGAATCGCTCGCCGTTGCTATCCTCCATCAGGATTAAATAACGAGATGTTAGGGTTTCTTGAATTTTTGTTCTCTCATCCTAACATTCAAAATTCAAACGCTGAGAAAAAGATCACGTAGCAAATTTTCAAGCGTTGTAAAGAAGAGACTTTATTCTTCTGGTCACGATAAAAATGTTTCCGATCTTTAATGTTTTTAAAGATATTGGAATTTATAATTCTCGAAAATAAAGTATTTTTACTTTTCCAGTCGTTGTATGATATAAAATCATTCCTTAGAAATTTTACTTGCCTTGGAGCCAAGATTGTTTCGTGATTTACTTTTGCATAGTTTAAATTATTAACAGTGATTGGTTCATTTATACTCTCATTATATGATGCAAAGGAGATTATGCAAGAGACGAAACAAACCCCAATTTAATTTCCATTTCTTCAATTACTCTGTAAAAACTATGGATTTGCATAAACATTTACAGTCTATTCGCATGATTAATTATAATTTTACAAAATAAGAAAACGAACTATTGGACTAGAAAATACACAAATACATTTGCTACATATTTTCACGCTTCTTTTAGACAGATAATCTTCTTAATTATCAATTAAGTAGAAGCAAAAATTAATAATTACCAATTTATATTTAAAAACCAAATATATTCATAAATTCTATTTTCTAAAATATTTTCCTTGGCCTATCTGACTGATTTTCATTAAGTCCAATTAGATTGAATTCCCCTGCATAATTAAGAAGGAGTAAGAAAATTATTTCCTCTATAATAAAAATAACAAATGGTTTCACACAGGAGGACCAGAAGCAAAATAGATAATAGATCAAACAGTCTATATACGTATGACATTTGCGTTAAAACTGATCTTTCACGCGACAAAGTTATTTAATCAATCAATCGTTAATACGTTATTGAGTAACTCGATATCACGGCACAAACATCATTTTCACCGCGGAGCACAGGTCCGCTGTAGCAAATTCAATCAATTTAACCTCATTACCGTGTCTCGTTCGCACAGTATCATCAAGTCAAACGGTCCTGGGCAGCAGCGATGTGAGCGCCCGAGTGCAATCCATCGACAGGCCCGTGTGAACTGCCGGTAAAATTAGGAAAGTTTCGCCTCGGTTTCGAAACAATTTGGTACAGAGACGAAATTTCAAATAATTGGCCGACGATTATCCATACCTTACGACGATACGATACCGATACGACGCGAAATCGGCTATCGCTTGTCGCGTATGAAAAAGTGATTTCACAGATGAATACGGTGTTCCAGGCTTGTCGCATCGGAAAATCATTATGCGTCATTTCGTGTGGCGTGTCGCTGTAATAACGCGTTCACGTGCAGGGGAATCCGTACGGCTCGCCGCCATCATAAATCCATTATGGCAATATCCGCGGCTATAAAGTCGCTTCAACTTTTAGACGGCTGAATAAGAAATCGGAATCGCCTTACTTGGCCGGCAGGCGAGACTCCACCTTCCCCCTGTTTCGTTTCCCACATTTATTATACCTTGTTCCTATTTGTTGCCTTCTTACGTTACGTACGCTGCAGAGCAACGATCTCGTCCTCGTGTTAGTAGAATAAGTTAATTATCAGCGTGTGTTAATGATCCTGCTTACGTTTAAATTCCACGTCGATCTTTCATAATTTATTACTTATTACTTTTTGTTGAAACGATAGCAAACATTTTTACTTAGAACATACTGCGATAATGATAATTAAGGACCGCAAAGAATTGACGAGAAATTCTATTTTTTTCATCTCGAGAATGGAAAAAGTTTTCGACGAATCCTTTAATAATGAGTAAGCTAAACTAGACACGCGGATGTCACACGGATGTAGATTTCCAAACAGTCGTCGTTTCAAGTGCAGCCGCGTGAGGCTCGTGGTGTCATAATTAGCATTGTTTACCAAGTAACTGATTATGGCACCGGTGACGTAACGATCGAATCGGTCGCGTCAGTGGCAACAGACAGAATTTACATAGTACATAATTACTACGGCACGAATGCTGGCCAATGCGATTCGCGGCGCGCACGCGAGATCAAGTGGAATCACTTTGGACAGCTTCGATCCGTTTTCGTAATTCTTTCCCCACCGTCTTCGATGCATCCGCGAATTTATGAAGCGGAAGCACCCCGAGCAATTTCGTTCCCCTCGCCGAGTTTACAGTGAATGTAAACGCCTTTGAACAGCGTTGAGAAGTAGCTGATATTTTTCGTGTCTTTTGACAAGAGAATTGCGTCTCCTCCGTTATTGGGTAGAGAGAAATGTCACACTTGGAAAGTTGCTTATGTCTTCGAGATATTTACGTGGTTTGTTATATTTATTTCGTCCATTTAAGCACTTCGGTTTCGTTACGTTTTTATATCTCTCGCGTGTATTTTGTGCATTTTACTAACGTTTAAATTTCCCAATAAGTGCAGAAAAATCTGTAGTTCAATTGTTATTGATAGCTTTTGGAAATTTGTTTGTCCTCCCTCCCTCAGATGTGATAAATTAAATTTTCAACAGAATTTTGAAAGAAAGAAACTGACCGCGAGTCATAGAAAATTAACACATCTATTCGTCGTACAATAAATTTTTATTCTCGAACAATTTTATATCTAAGAAATAAAATAAAAAATAAAGAAAAAAATATAATATTAATATACCACAGTCTAGAATCTAGAGCTACATCGACTATTCTTACAAAATAATTGGGAGAACATTTAAATTTATCAAAATCGAGACTTCTGATATATTTGTACTTGTACACATTTATCATTCCCTATCTCTGTTCTCCTCAAACAATTAATTAGCTGTTTCAGATACGGGAAGATTCTTCCACGAGTTGCTCGGGCAACAGTTCCTCTATTTACGAGGGTTAGGGAACCCCCTGTTTAAGATGCTCTCGGCGTTTAAAAAAATTCTGCCGAGTCCGAGAAACGAGAGGGCACGAAACTCTTTTATAACAAGCGTTACGGCCAGTTCAGCAGATTCTTGACCGTTGTAACAAACTGCGAGCAAGTTTTAATTAACTGTAACTGGTAATTGAATTAGATCCCGCGTCTGCACCTACATCACGATCACGTGGCGCCACCCACTTGAAAACTCAGGTTATCGTTTCCAGGATGTACCTAACGCTCGTAACAATTCACTGTGTTTCATTCTCGTTTTACTTTCACTTACTTTCCACGACGTCGGTATTCACATGTCATCGAAGAAGCAACGAGTCTTCGACGTACTGATCCGAGCCTTCATTACATTTCCATATTTCCGTATTATTATATTTCCAGAATTGGTTGGAATGAATATACGAGGAATGTATTAGAATAATTAGAATAATTATCAATGATGAATCCTCAATGAGCTTGAAATAACTGCATTTAGAATAATTATGGTGAATAATTTAACCAAAGAGTAATAAGATTTAATGAGCTGGAAGTTAGTTAATTTAATTGATGTAATTGACTTATTAAAAACTACTTTCTGTAGTTGGTAGCAAATAAGAATGACTTTGTAACTTTTCTCGTGTTTTTGAAATAATGACATATCAAACATTTCCCTGTTTTATGAGAATTTTGAAGACATTACGCTATTTGTTACTTTGTTTGACATCGAATAATCGGAGTTTTATGAATTATTTCTACGATTTAATTTAATTTAAGAAATGAAATTTAAGAAATTTATAGTGGTCGTGCGAAATTCTGAGGTATTATTTTTCAATTTTGAATAGTATCGTGTGAACGTATTGGTGGTATTAGTACATTTAACAAATTTAGATACAATAAATGTATTCCAAAGGCAAAAAAATTAAATACCAAGATCCTTGACAAAGATAATGTAACAATAGTATAATTTTAATCACATCGTAATGTAGTGTAATGCAACGTGATATAATTACATTGTAATGTAATTAAAATATAATTAATATAATTAAATTATCATTACCAGTAATACCACAATGTTGATATTCATATAAATCAATACCACTAATGACTGGTTAAAAATGTTATTTGTGTGAAATTGAATTGCAAAACATATTTTCAATCCGCAATTTATCGATCTGTGTTATAAAAATTTCAAAAACAAAAAAAAAAAGAAATCAATTTATTCCTGAAGAAAGGACATCGAATCAAAATTTGTAATTTTCGTAAAATCGAAAATCTTCGCTGCATCCAATATTCGTTCGTTTTTTGCAATTCTCCTGGATCAACGAGTACGATTGTTCGCGAAATAATTACCAGCGTGGAATATCAAAGAAAAATTCGGAAAACGTCAAAGCATCACGGAGGATCCTTCGCCGTCGTACAGGATCTTTTTCCTATTTTCGCCCTCTGCCGTTCCTCTCGTTATCGCAGTCCGTTTTCGCGGAAAGTCGAAACACTGAAAGTATTCACTCGACCACTAATGAACAACGTATCGAAAAAAACACGTTTGAAGAAACAGGATCCTTTATTTGTCGTTTCGATGATTATTGTTTCAATTAAATAGCGACAGGTGGAATTTTATTAGCCGATGATATTCGTGCGACGGTACATAATCGTCGTATTAATCCTCTTTCCCCTATTCTCGTGAAAGGAGAATTAGATCGATCGATTTAAAATCTTGGTTAATGAAGTCGAAACGAGTATTTCGATTTAAAGAATCAGTTTTTTTGGAATTTACTTGACGTTCATACAGGATCTCCTTTTCGCCAAAATTTTATTAAGAATGGTTACTAAATCAGAGAACGAGTGGACTGCAAATTCATTGGGAAATTGGAAAATTTGATTCGATCGAAATATCAAAGGTATAATATTTGTTGTTAATACTTGACGTTTAATCAACCTTCGTCTATGTTTTTTTTTTTTTTATTATTTTAAAATATGGATTCTCTTAAAATATGAATTTTTATTTAAAATATTTTTATTTTAAAATATGAATTGTTCATTATAAAATATGAATAAAAATCCGCAATCTTCGAACTTGTGAGACTTTTATGTGCAACAAGGAAAGCACGTTCGACATGGAATAATATCTATTGAGATAAAATGTAACATAGAAATATTTTTCCACAAAGTTTGCTGACATTTTCAACTTAGACGAGAAAACCCCGATTACCTATATGTAAGGTATAGTTCGATATACGAAAACGAACGAGAAGTCAGCAAAATTAAATCAGCACGACGGCGCAGCGACAAATCGGACTTTAATTTTATTCCTATGGATTTCCAATCGTCCGCCACATTTTTTTTTTCTTTTTCTTTTTCACGCGATTTTCCACGGCAAAAGAATCAGTCGCTGATTGCGCGAGGATTGATTAACTCATTGTTCGCCGCGGCCCGTGAAAGATCTTGCTCCTAACAAAGAAAGTATTTCCCTCTCGCGAATAGACAGCGGGACAATCGAAATGAGGAGAGCGGAAAGTGACGAAGTAATTATGAAATCGACGTTACGTCGACGTACTGTACGTGACCAACTTGTACAAATTAGATAAATCACATTTAAACGATGACACTCGCCAAGAAATCCAGCATCGAATTTATAGTCGAACTTTATTTGTAAATATAGCACAAACTTCTGAGAAATGGTCAAGTTTGGTATTAAAGAATTTATAATTTAATATTATTAAATGTTATAATTAAATTATAATTAAATATTAAATATTATATATTTATAATATTAAATATTAAATATTAAATATTAAATATTAAATATAAATATAAATATTAAATATTATATATTTATAATTTAATATAGATTTAAATTTAACTCGAAGTTCTATCAAGATCAATTTGAACTAAATTATAACGACGAACGTTTCAATAAACTCAAAGAGAGATATTAGAAATGTCGTCGATGGAGATTTATCTTCGAAACGATTACACTTGTAATAATCGGGTAATCGCGAAGGAATGAGTTCGTAACCAGAATTCGTGCTTACCATTGAAGAAGAACTTCGAGTGAAAGCCAAGTTACGATACAACGATCGAACGCCATTTTCCCCGCCAACGAATGATACTTGTCGACCACTTAATACGTGTTCTCTGCGTTCTCTGTTCACAGAAGGATGGCACGTTGCAAACCACGAGCTCTCTGGCTTTCACGGCGTCCGTGTACGACAACGGAAGAACGTTCAAATGTTACGCTGAGAACTCGGTCACGCGTTCCGAGAACATGAAACCGATGATAGAGTCGATGACCATCGAAGTTCTGTGTAAGTGAACCATAATTTCCGACGTATCCGTTCCTTGTTCTTTTTCTCTGCTTAACGTTTCTTCGTGGACGTATGTAAAGAAAGTTAAACTCCTCCAACGAATTTCAGTTTCCCCCTCTCGTCCATTGATTCTCTTTTAAAGAGGCGGCCAATTTAAGCATTTGAAATGTCATATATAACATTGAAAGCGCAAGTGTGTTTTTCCTTTTTTTTTTTAAGATGCATCTTGTAAATTTTAATGGAGAGGTAGTTCAATCATCGTTTCTTTTTTTCCTTCGAGAGAACTTGACTCGTGATTTAAGGAAACAGAGAGTAACTAAAAATCGTGCAAAAGCATAAGAATGTTTTTCTTTGTTTGAAGAAGCGTCTTGAAAATTTAAGAGTGATAATACTAGAATCTATAGTAGTACAAGACACTAAATACTACTACAGAAGTTCAATGATCCTCTCAGACCTGCAGAAACGAATTAACCACTTTGCGCTGGCAACTGATTGCGGACCGTAACGAGTGACCAAACGGTACACAATAACTCGTCGCTTTCTTTTTGAACTCGTCGGTATGACATCACTGAATGGAAATTATTCAAAAATAATAAATTTATTGTTTGTTCTACCTGTGTATTTGGTTATACGTAAATATATTTGAAACTGAGAAAATATCGCAATTTTGGAACAAACAATTCTCGACGTGCGTAGCGCAAGAGATTAAAACGATGGTTCAGTAGTTGCCCGAAGAAAATTTAAAATACGATACATCCGAAATATCCAGAACGTAACTCTTCGTTCTAATTTATTTATTATTTAACCTGTTGAATATTTCAATACGTGTGTGTACATCCATCAGTTTTAGAATTCCCTTTTATGCAAATCCCTCCCCTCCAATTTTCGCGTGAATCTTTTACACGCGTCAAGATAGGTGTGAATTACGCGTGTTAAATGAAATTATAATGGAACGTCTGCTCTATTTGCCTAATAACTTCTGAAATCGCGAGCACGTGGACGGAAGTACAGTTTATTTAATGGGAAGCACTCAGTCACCGTCGTCGGTAATAAAATCGCAAACAGCTAACGCAGTCTAGCGGCCATTAAAAAGGAGATTATAGATTGTAATAAGCGTTTAAATCTTTTAACGACCGGGACGGAAAAAATATGGGTCACGCGCAGCGGGCTATTAAAACCGAATATAATTATAATAAACGAATAGCTGAATGATCGGATTATTGCTTTGGAACTCCCGCCAGGAGGGCTTGAGAGGTTGCAATGTATTTAAAATTTAATTACGCTCCCTCCCTATTTGCCATTCTTTTTAGCGCCTCGAAACGACGCGAAAATAGACGGAGATAAAGAAGAGATATGAAGAGAGATGAACGAAGGAAATAAATGTTAATCGTCGCGCGACAATGATAAATAAAATCGAAGAGTCTGAAGGATTTCTTTCGAATCACAACTTTCGAAGAGATATTATATACCTCTTTTAAGAATTTTGAATTTATTTTAATAAATTTGAGAACAGAACTATTTACATATTACAATTTAATTTTTATATTAATTAACAACATCGTTGTTCGCTATTCGCATTTATAAATTATACACGATTTCGAAATTGCCTCGAACGTTCAATGTCAAATTAATTTGTTGTCGACAGTGTTGATATTTAAAATTCGTCGAAATTCGAAGAAATTTCCAATCTCTAATTTGGTACCGTGATAACATGCAGCTGATCGCAATTTAAAAGTTTCATTGAATTCCTTTGGAAAGCGAGGTCGCAGTTTTTTCAACGCCAGGTAAATTTCTATTATCGAGTACAGCTGAAAGCCATTTCTCCTTGTACCAAGAGCGCGACAATTCCGGATATAAATACCCGTTCGCGACACGATGCAAATATCATAAATTCCGGACAAAAGGACAAACGCATCGTTATCTTGCTCGCACCTCGTTACTGCAATTTAATTGCGTTCAAAGGAGGAAGGGGGTGAAATTAAACAGCGGAGGAATATCTCCGCGACGGAGACACCGGGAGTTTTGCTTCCTTGCAGACAATCCACTCGACAGAGTTTCGCAGAAAAATATTCCAGAAACGACGAACAACGAACGGATCGTTTCCTTTCACGATGGATTCAGAGATATTTAAACGAGAGACTTTGTGATGTTGTCGGATGTTTCTAATATTTGATTTGATTCGAGACAAGCGTTTAGGAAACAGTACATAGTTTTCATGAACGTTGCACTGAACCTCGTTCTTTTCACATTGATGATAATTGATTGCAGCCGTTCCATTATTGTGCGATTCTCAAAATTTACAGAAACGACTTTGAAAAAAATTTGTAATTTAACAGTGCAAGGAAATTTGTCTTGTGATTCTTTGGTTCACGCCGAATAAAAAAAAAAAATGCCAATTTTGTGTTTATATCGTTGTGTTTATCAAACAAGTGTTGCTATAATAAATGAGCACGAGTATATAATAAATGAGAAGCGAACGAGTATTCATTTGTTTGATAAATGTTTAATTAAAATTAAAATTAGCTACGATTGCACAACGTATTGCAAAGTAAGTAATCTCTCGTTTTTCATCGTAGGAAAAAAGGTTGCCTAACCTTTGTCATATATAATTTCTGAATGATATTATTCTACGTAAATAAAAATTTTAAACAAAATCAGCAGTCGTGAATTTAATAAGAGGAATTAGAAATCAACTTCGGAATACAAATTTCGTGATAACATTGAAAAAACTAAAGAACAAAGTTCGAGAACGAAGTTGAGGGAATGTTGAACAAGCAAACGTTAATTTCAGGGTGAAAGTATAGTTCGCGGGGAAACAATATTGTTTCCAGAATGGTGTGTCTACAAGGCATCAATAAAAATTGAAACTATGGAAGTTGCGCATTCATCATTCTAATTAAAATAAAGAAATGGCAGAAATTCAATTTCGAAAAATATTCACGCAATGGAACGCAGAAGTGAATGTCGAAATTGGTTTGTGACAAAAATACACTCGATTAATTAAAAGCTATATAAATGAAAATATAAAAATAGAATACACATAAATAAAAAATATGAAACACATAGAAAATAATGAAACATATTTTACTTACAAAACAATGTATAGTTAGATTGTATGTAAAATCTTTTACATAAAATACTCATGTCGTTTTGAACATGAAATAAAAAATAAAACTCAATCTCCAAATATTTAGTATCGTTTTTTAGACTATTAAAATTTCATTTCATTTCACCTTCGCCGCAATAAAAATTAATGGTGATATTAAATTGTATTAAAAGTTGCAAAACTAACTGAGCTGACTCTAAATCATCCTTAATGGACACTTGATATCAGATAAAAATTGAACAATGAAACACTAAAAATTACAAAATGTGTATTCCATTCGTGTTTTATTTATTTTCACGCACAAGGCGCGTTCAAAAATTCCGTACAAATACGTGAAAATTTACAGTCTAATGACGATTATGATCAATCAAACAGGCAATCAGTCAAACAGGAGAAATTTAAATCAAAATCTAAACCGATTAAGAAATCGTGGAAATACAGAGCAAGATGTAAGAAAAAAAAAGAAAAGAAGGAGAAATGTACGATCACTGTGGTACTCGTTTTCCATCGAAACACTCGCCGTGGCCATTATCGCCGTAGTCTGCGTCGATAGAATTACTATTCTCGTACGTTTGTCCCTGGAAAGGCACTTTAGAAGGAGCCGGAGGCACGATTAAAACGAAATTTTCCCCGGATCGGAGAACCGGTTCGTTCGCGAAAAAAGGATCGTAAAGAATCGTCTGTAATTTAGCCGCGCCGATCCGAAGGAATAAAAGTGCATAACGGTATCGACGGTCTTCCGGAGGATAGAAATCGGATGTAGGTGGCAGGGATGGAGAGGAGACGAGTGGATTTTTTCGCGGTGTTTGATCAACGTCCAATATAGTCGGCCTGAAATTAAGTTACACCTCGCAGGCCGTAGTTGTATATATTCCTGTTTTATCGCGCCCTCTCCAATTCGCTTTTTTCGTCCCCGGCACAAAGGGTATAATCGTAGATTCAATTAACCCGAATTAGATCGTTCGGTGCTCATTCGACTTACAGGGCTCGTAATTTTCACGGAGGGAAAGGAAAAACGAGCCGGCGCGGCGCGAAATTCCTCTGCGAAGTCTTCATACGTGGCATATTAATTCGTCGCGCAACTAGAAATTGTTGCTCGCCGCAACGACACGCTATTGCAAAAATACCGAGCGATTATCAAATTATCAGATTTATTGCAATAAATTTTGCAAACAATCGATTGGCACTGGAACTATCAGAGGTTCTTTATTTCAATGTTTAAATCGACTCATAATTTTGCAACTGAGCAGAGTAGTTCTAAGTAGTTTATTTTAATTTTGTCGGATAACTACCATAGAGAGCTCTAGCTAGTTAATTCTCAAATCGACTCATAATTTTGTAAAGTTAACGATCTTTGGAGATTTGATACGATTAAAGTGAAACTTTTGTGGTTCTCATTATATTATAAATTTTCCGTATAACGTTCATTTCTGGTTTTAGGAATTTTTCTCCGTACACGTGCATCACGCCCGAGATCTTCCTGAAAAAAGAAAAAAAAGATCTCAGGAACAGTCATTTTACTTTCCTTAATTCTTTATCATTCTCAAACGCTTGACCCTCTCCTCGTGTCTACAATCCGACGATTTATACACGAACAATGCTCTCGCCCAGCAACAGTGACCGTTTCGGTTTCTCTCGATCGCGCGAGCCAGACGAAAAGAAGACTCGGCGTAGAATAGACGGAAAGACGAAAGTTCCGTTTTCGTAGCCAGCGGACGGGGACAGCGGAGGTAGAGAAACTATCCACGGATTGAAAACGCGAAACTCGCGCGCGGCTGGCGCGTTTCCAACTTCTCTTTTCCCCTTTGGACAGGCCACTCTCTCGCAACTACTCTCGTCGGTGGAAGGGTTTTGTTTTACGCCCGTTTCGCCGTTTAAACATATCTCGGAACGCGGATGAAGCTGCGCCTTCCGCTTCCCAGGAGCTTCTCTCTAACGCGCGCGCGTTATTTTAATTCCCAGACGCCTCGCGGCCACGTATTTTCGGATGGTAGACGAAAATTCCGCGCGATTACCTCCCTCCCACCCCTTTTTCCGCGACGCGACGCGCACCGTATCGACATCTATTATACTATAAGTACCTTTGTGTCGATCCGGTGAATATTCATGCGTTTCCTGTTGAAACGTGTTGTTTCAGTAGCCGTGCAACGTGCCACGGCCCCCGGAAAACTTTAAGAGACTGTGAGAAGAGCGACAAATGTTTAACGTTTGCTCCCATTGCTCCGAGGTGGAACAATTTGCGAAGAGTTTCCCGAGTTTTCTCGTTACTAACGTTTCGCTTCCCTTTTGCTTTCCCGTCGAGGCAACTCTGACGAAAGGCACATTTGTCAACTGTGTAAATCAACTCTGCGATGTTTTGAGCGCGCCTGTGTCGATCTGATGGTAAATGACCACGCGTTTTGTAAAATTCGTCGTTGAAAGTCGCGGAAGTTGTGAAGCTTCGCAGAGTTTGAAATTAAAATTGAAATTAAACGCCAACTAATATAATAGTAAAATACGCTTTGATATTTAATATTAAAAACGCACGTGGATCACTCGACAACTATTTTAATATTAAATATTGAAACGTACTATTAGAACAATGATCGACTTCGTAGATTCAAATCGAGTGAGTCGAAATTAATTTTAACCATTCCCCGATTGCCACGATTCTTAACTACATATTAATAGAAAATATTAATATGTAGTATTAAAAAAATATTAGAAAACATTAATATGTAGAATTATATACATATTAATAGAACATATTAATATGTATAATTCTACATATTAATAGAAAATTAACATACGCGCGTGTTTAATATGAAAAATATAATTTGTCTCTTGCAGATCCGCCTATAGTAACGATGAAGCCGGAGAACATCACTGTAAACGAAACCGAGGATTTTATAGTGTTCTGCGACTACGAAGCGAACCCGGCCAGTCTGACAAAGGTAGCGTGGTAAGTATTGCAGATATATTGAGTCTCGTTGAAAATTAATTAAATATCACAAATATAACCGTGCAATATTATGTTGTGGCCGACATTTTGCTCGTATATCATATAATAATAGAAAGTAGAATGGTAGATCCACATAAATCGTTGAATGTTAATGTTTTATTCCAATAAAAAAAGAAACTAGCATTTTACTTCACGGTGAAGTATTTCTAATAACGTTAAACAACGAATATTGAAAAATCTGCACCGTAATCAAAAAGTAATTTAACTCGACGTCGATATCTTGCGCGTTCAGTACAAATGCAGTTCAATAATCACGTGTGAAATTCACGAGAAATCCGAACGAAATAGGCTTTTTGAAAAAAAAGAAAAAAATAGGTTTGCAATCGCGAGCGTGTATAATCGTTGGAGTTTATATGAAAAGAAAAAAAAGAAAACGAAGATAAATTCAGCGTTTTTAACCCACGTGTTTAAACACGCGTTGTTCTCGTTCGAATCGGCTTCGAAGTTCAACCACCTCTGCATAACCTTACCGTGAAATACGAGTGTGTCTATCGCGGCGGTGATGGAAATTGATAGAATTCGCGCTCGAACATAAATTGGATAAAAAGAATACTGGCAGAGAGAGAGAGAGAGAGAGAGAGAGAGAGAGAGAGAGAGAGAAGGAAATCACGAATTTATGTTGCCTGTCTTTACCACACGGTCCCCTGAATCACGTGAATCTATGTTTTTTCATTCTTCAGATGTTGACACGTTCCCTCTTTCCCGTGAACGATTCCGCTCGTTTATCAAGCTTCCTACTTTGAAACTACCGCGGAGAAGTTCAGTCGTTTTACAGTAGGTTTTCGTAAGATCGATATAGCGCTTTGAAGGGGGGAGGGGAAGAAAAAAGGTAACAAATAAATAAATAAATAAATTGCCGACGAGAAAGAAGAGAGTGAAAAAATTGCGAACAGGCAATTTAGGAAGGAATTATGATAGAATGCTGTCGTTAAAAGTGAGGTAAATTGTCCGATGTTGAGCGTATACGTATATAGGATCACGCTGTAAGTATTCTCGCCGTGAATAGAGTAATTGGCTCGGAAGTTTATTCAAACTTTCTCTCTTCGCTGGTCCATTATCTTTCATTAACTTTTTGTAATTTATCATTTCTGTCAACGAAAGATCAGTTTTTCTCTCTCTCTCTCTCTCTCTCTCTCTCTTTTTAATTTCCCTTTCTCATGTTATTATTTAGTAACGAAGCTTCAAAGAGTTTAATTAATCTTTCGTTCTTCGTTGAGTCTTGCAGAAACTCCGTCTAAATGGTAAGAATATTGAGAATCGTAGGTAGGAAAAAAAAAAAAGAAAAAGAAAAAAGAGAATCTACCTATGGAACGGTATGATAAATCGGAGAACCACCCAACCCAAGAAGCAATATTTTTCAACTTTGATCCATACGTTTTCTTCTAAAAACCATCATAAATCTTCTCAACGTGTTCAAGGGTACATCAGTTTCACGAAAGGATACAATATATTGATTCGATGCGGCGGAATAATTCCTTCCTTTCCCCTTTTTCATAAATATCCCTTCTTCCTTTCTGTCTATAAATTTTATATCTTCCTACCTTTGATTCATTCTTTCATGCTCTATATAAAAACCAAAGGAAAAAGAAAAATGAAATTAGATTTTGTCATAGATATCCACGTGTTCGTGTTCAAATAACAATGTTAGAAATGTAACTCATCGTAATTACATTAAAAATGTAAATAGTGTCGTTTGCTTTGAATTATTAAGTGTTGTACATTTCATTTTACTTTGGATTTTGTGTTCTCTGTGAAGATGAAATTGAATAATTTAACTTTGTGTCGTTACGGTCGTGCTTCATGATAGCAATTAGGTTTTCAACATTGAAAATATTTCAGTGTAATAAGAAAGAATATATAAAATATATATTTAATAGAATAATAGAAAGAATATTTAAAATATATATTTTTATATTCTTTTAATAAGAAATAAATATTTAATATTCTTAGATACAAATATATTTTATTAAATATTTATTTAATATTCTTAAATATTTAATATTTAATATTCTCAGATAAAAATATATATTTTTATATTCTTTTAATAAGAAATAAATATTTAATATTCTTAGATACAAGTATATTAAATATTTATTTAATATTCTTATTCTTTATTTAATATTCCTAAATATTTAATATTTAATATTCTTAGATACAAATATATACTTTTATATTTTTTTAATAAGAAACAAATATTTAATATCCTTAGATACAAAGGGTTTCACGTCAAATACTATTTCTTAATCTTTTTTTTCCAGCATTTCATTAATTTCTCAAGAGAAATCTTTTTCTCCAAAATTTTCGTTCTTTTTCTCATCAAACGCAACTTCTCTCTCTCTTTCGTTAGAAGTCCATTACTATCAGCCATCTTGCAGAAAAACAAAACATCATCGTTCAATACTCGGCGGGTCGCATCGGTTGCCAATAATGGCGTTCCACGGTGAACGGTTAAATGACAGTTAAATGCGTTATCCTAAGAATCGTTAGGAGGCATCGACGAGCACTCGCCACTCCCACGGGAATCCTCCGCACCGTGGGGTTTATTGACGGTGCACGAGGCTCGCTGGAAGTTTATAGCATCTCGCCCAACCGCGGCTAACTGCGTTATAAAAGAGGACGGAAGTAACTGGAAGTTAATCCACGGACGGCGAATATTGGATTGAACTTGGTGCCCGCGACGATACAGATTCTTTATCAGCTTAATGTAACATTATAGAGAGCCGTTTTTACCCCGGGGGTGGTTTTAAGCTTCCGTAGGTGAAAGGTGCACGGGCACGACGCGCAGGTGATCAAAGTACTTTTTAGACGCCAGTGGAAATTCGCAACGAAATCGCGTTTTGCATAGAAACATAATTAGTCTGTGATAAAATTTGAATTTTCTGTAGATTCTCTAGATTCCCTTGTTGCGTCGCTTTTGTCGTGAAATTTTATTCTCTTTGGTTAGCTCGAGTTTTGTTTTCGTAAATGTTATAGGATAATTGTTAATCTTTATGTCAGATGTATGTATATGTATGTACATATGCGTGCTTGATCTCAACGACACCTAGTGACTAAATTGGGCATCTTCTGTTTCTCTGATCAAAGCTGTACAAAAGCAAACACGTGCGTCGCTATTATATAAAATAAAACCTCTAAAAGCGGAACCCACTGCTGCATTTACACCGCCTAAAATCGTCAGTAAAAGTATATAAAAATACCTCAGAGTCTAGTAAATAATTAATTAGCATACCGAAATAACTGACTGTAAAATTTAGCAGCTATGTAACACAGCTATTACGTACTAATAACAATAATACGAATTTTCAACTTCACTTCTGATTTACATAATGTACGTGGTTTGCTTTCTTCGGCAAGTTTCTTTTGCGAAAACCTGAGAGAAAGATGTTGACAAAATGCACGCGCAGCTTGGAACTGGAAAACGCGAAAATAAATCGTATTTTTTAAAAAAAGGAAATTACTCGCGCAGCGAGACCGGCGAAACGCCGCAAACCATCGAGCATTTATAAACTCGGATTTCGCGCGTCTCGTATTCGATAACACCGCGGCGCAACACCGAAGAGAAACCCCGTCCGGAAAGTGGAGGGGTTTTAAAGTAATCCCGCGTAGCGGACTCGACAGCGGCATTCGAAACGTCAAAATAAAAAGGCGCGAATTTATCGGGATGATTTATTATATTTTTCTATGGGCGGGCCTTGAAAACCATATTTCACGCTGATGCATGTAATGGCGCGTGTGTACGCGCACGAGTTGGCCAGATAGAGAGAGAGAGAGAGAGAGTGAGAGAAGGGGGAGTAGTTTCAATTCCAGGTGTCGAGGGAAATATTTCGGTAAGAAATTGCCGCTCCATGCGGCGCAATAGAAATTCAGTGAAATGCTACTACTGCCGCGGAAAGCATGGTAATTGCGAGAGAACGTTGATCAAGTGTCATTCGTCCGATGGCTACTTTACGCTCGACATCGATCACCGATACGATCCAGTTTCATCGGTAGAAATTACTCGTTAACAATGTACGAATTGTACATTGCCACGACAAAAAACAGTGAGAGAAAAAGAGAGAGAGAGAGAGAGAGAGAGAGAGAGAGAGAGAGAGGATTGTTTTCGTCACGATTATAAAGCGATTTTTACGGGGACATTTTCATCGTGTATTATTCAGGGAACGTTACTGCGTCGGGCGTTGTTGGATATTAAAAATCATGTAACTGTCAAGTGAATACAGGGGAAACACGATAAAAAGGAACACGTGTTTAACACTTTGGCGAAGGCTGTAAACGAACGTTCGCGCGTGTCGGTGTTCCTTTTTCGATTGCGAATTAAAATGTTTTCCAAACGAAAAAAAAAAAGAAACATATTCTTTCGCGGACGTCGGCGATGTTCTCTGCTGTAGTCGTAATGTTTCGAAAATATTGAAAATCCGATTGGGGCCAGCCTCTTGTTTCGGTCGGCCGGTATCTGACCGCTTGTAGAATTGAATTTGAATTGGAATTTTTATTTTTATCTTTCTCCTTTTTTATATTCAATTTCGTTGTGTGTTCGTATTTTGGAGTTATCGGTTATCGGACAATTTGTGTGCCTGTGTTGTTTCCTCTACAATTGGAAAGAGAAAGACCGTTTAGACACAATATAAAGGAATGTACGAATTTCAAATAAAATTCTTTCTTGTCGAAATTGATTACTGGTCTTCTCCCGATTTTTCATGAAGTGCGTTTCGTTTGCTTGTTTTCAGGTATCGAGACGACAAGGAATTAATTCTAACCGACGACCACTATGAAGGTGGTATCACGGAACAAACGGCTCTTACCGTGAAAAATTCGACCCCCAGCGACATGGGCTCTTACAAGTGTGTATTAGACAATAACGTTGGTTCATCAAATTCGGACGACATCGTTCAGGTCTCCGTGCTGTGTAAGTATTGGAAAATTGACACGTGAACGCCAACTCAGCTTAACCACGGACCAATTATTTAAAATTAAATTAAATTGAAACACAATTGAGATACTCAGATACTCGATTTTTCGAGCTTCTTCCCGATTTTTCTTTTTCTCTTTCCCGCCAGTCAAATACTGAATTGAAATTTAGGATGCCGTCGAGGTATCTCTATTTTTTAATAATCCAATATTTGAGAAATACAATATTTCCGTAAGAAAATAAAATCAACATTATCGATGGGAAGAAAGAATACCTGGAGAAACAGTTCCATTTCGTTTCGTATTACGAACAATTTATCGTGTTTTATTCCGGTAAACGATATTTATGCGTCCATAAATTCTCGTGAGCGCCGCTTTAAAACCAATGCCGGAACATACGTAATGCCTGCCCTTTTTTTTTTTCCAAACATAATCTGTCCAGCATTCCCTTTGTAAATTTCGTTTTTTTTTTTTTTTTTTTTTTATTATTTTACACGCCACGCTATCGTTTCGTGAACCACGAAATTGCTTATCGAGCTTTTTTACGATTGTATGTTCGAGTCGGAAATAATTTCGTTGATGTCGTAATTAGCGTAGTTACGATTTCAAAGGTACTTCTTCGAAGGTAGAGTATTAATTAATTTTTGCAATGAAAAAAATTAATTTTACAATGAGACAATTATACAATTGATCATGTAACGCGCGAGCAGCATTTTCTTTGTATTGATTTTATGAAACATTGAATTACGATTGCACGGCTCGACAGAATTGACTATAATCAAACGATGACAAATATGTTCATTTTCAGAAGAACTAGCCTTCGTTCTATGTCTTCTACATTGTGTCTCCTTCTAAGGAAAACGATAAAAGAATTCTAATAAAAACGAAACAACGAGATTTCGATCGTGATGAAGATAAAACGAATCTTCAACAATTTCCTTGAAACGAAATAATAAGTGACAAAGCGAGAAAAAAAAAGTATTCTACAATATTCAAAAACGGCATAACGAATTTTCGAAATGTGACTGAAATTCGAATATATATGTAAAACATACGTTTCGCCATAGGTGCAATCCCGTTATTCGATAAATTTATATAAATATATATAAATATATATATATATATATATTAAACATAACTGTTTATATAAGTTTATATAAATAATATAATTATTATATAAAGATATAATATAAATTTATATAAATAATTATTTTATAAAAATATAGTATAAATTTATATAAATAATATAATTGTTATATATAAAATATAATGATGTAATTATAAATATAAATTTATATAAACTGTTTTAAATTATCATTATATTTTATACATAACAATTATATCATTTTTATAAATTTATTATTATAAGATATATTTATATAATTATTTTAGATTATTTATATAAATTCATTATTATAAGATATATTTATTATTTATATTTATTATTATTAGAATTTATTATATAATATAATATAAATTTATATAAATATAATATAGTATAAATTTATATAAATATAATATAATATAAATTTATATAAACATAACAGTATATACAAATTTATATAAATGTAACATACGTTTCGCCATTACAGACGCTGCAATCCCGTTAGTCGATAAATTTTCAGCTGAATCACGTCGCGAATAAATCGGCGAGCCGAATGAAGGAATTTGCTGGTCGACAAATAATATCGCTGATTTTATAAAACACGTAGCGTCAACGATAACGAGAAGGGAAGAAAAGCGCGGAGAGAGAGAGAGAGAGAGAGAGAGAGAAAGAGAGAGAGAGAGAGAGGAAGAAATATCCCGGCGTGTTATATCGATTTGCCCGGCCATTTTGTCGTTCTCGGCGTGGCCATGCATTTTGCACTTATCTTCATTACAAGGACTAATTTCCTTCGGCCGCCTGGCCAGCTCGAACCAACGATAAATCGTTTGGCAATTATTTATTCCTCGCGGTGTAAATCAACGCGAGTAAAAAGTATAGTAGAACATGGACGCGAATTTGTTCGATATTATCGTGCGACGAACATTTATATATATATATATATATATATGTGTGTATGTGTGTGTGTGTGTGTGTGCATGTATTACGACGATTTTACAAACGTCGACCAATTGATTGAAAAAGAAGCGAAACGGTTGCTTTTTCTTTAATTAAAGCCAGCGAAGCGAAACACTCGAAGATGTAAAGTTAATCGACACGGACTGACAGGCTGAGTGGCGATTATCGTCACTTATTTAACGAGGTAAATGAAAGCCGAAATCCCGAGCACCCTGTGTGAATAATGAAGCGAGTATCTTAATTAGCCGACGATCGAGCAATTACACGGTTCACCGGATCGTCAAATCGGACTCGCTGATTCCAACAATCGAGCCCGATGGTGTTAATCGTTTTATGACTAATTTCGTTATCAAAAACCGATCGATCTATCTCTTTCTCTATGCGGTCGTTACAATTACGAAGTTGCTGGAAATTGAAAGTTCCATCAAACTGTTACTTCCGTCAAACGATTACTTTTGCTGTCGAAAAAAAATCACACGTCGATTTTTGTCGCGTAAAGTGGATAGAAATATAAGTATTATATTTGAATTCGTAGCACCGCAAGTGTATAAATGTTTAGCACTAGAACTTTGAAATTTTGAATATAATATCAAAACTCTTGCTGCCCGAACAATTTCATTAAATCAGAATTCTCGGATAATCTCGAAAACTATGAAGAAGGAGGAGTGAAATTCGAAAGAACTTTCAATTAAGATTCGAAAGAGAATATTTCATCGTCGAAGGAAAGGGAAACGCCTATTCTCATACTCGTCATACTTAAATATTTCGCAACTGAAATCTATCTGTTTTTCGGCCATGAAAATGCCATCTTTCCTCCCCGTGTTGAACTTCGAGGATAATCGCATTTATCAATTCGAATCGAATCGAATCCCGGGGTGGTAGCAATTTCAGATATTAGGGTTACGGGGAAGGAACCCAAGTGCGTGAGGTGGATGGGTTAATCCATTAAAATGAATGATTTCGATCGGAATCAAACGAGCCGATTCTCCCTCAGCCTGCAAGTTTTTCAAACGAGCTCCCATCGGAAGATTTAGATATCGGTCGCCGATGCCATTTAGAATTTTGGATTCCTTTATGCGAAATCGAGGACTGGTCCATCATTTATCACATTTGAAACGATCGATTTAAATATTAGTCCCGCGAAAAAAAAGAGATTAATATCTGTTAACGAGTGCTGGATGACTTTTTAAAATTGAAAATCTGAATTCTTCAAAATAACATAAATCTGATCTTCGCATAAATTGAATTTTGTACTATTAATCGTTTGAAATTACTTTCCGAAGTCCATTTCGAGTGAAAATTAATCGCGATAATAATTCTAGTTGTACCTTGAATCGGAAATATAAACTTTAAGAAAATATAAATTTGATCTCCATTTAAATTGAATTTCATGCTGTTAATCTTTTAAAATTACTTTCAAGTCCATTTCGAGAATTAGTCGCGATGAATTCTAATTGAAGATATAAATTTTTCAAGATAAATTCCATTTCCATTTAAATTGAATCTCATTTAAAGTTACTTTTTAGCGAAAATTAATCGCAAATAAACTCCAGTTAGATAAATTCTTTAAAAATTGCGAATGTAAATTCCTCCGTGACAATGTAAACTCAATTTCCCTTTAAATCATTTCTGAATCAATTCCGAACGAGCCTTAATCGCAAACGAATCACAGTGATAAATAATTTCTTGCCGTTCGTTGAGTTCCAAGAAGACGGAAACGAGGGATTAAATTTTGATTCGATTACAAGCGAGAAAATTCTGCCAAGTCACCATCGGCGAAGTTTTGAATACTTGGCAAACTACATTATTTGAAAGTTTTATCATCGAGTTGTACCACTGGTCTTCGAAAAATAAACCGGCGGCCAGTTAAAACGAAGAGACAAAGCAGCAGAAATTAAGAAACTTTAAACCGTCTGTTAAACCGTCTAAGCGAAATACACTGCGTAAACTTCCCTTTCGTATAAATACAGTTATATCGGTTCAAATCCCTCCCCCTCCCTCTCTCAACCTGTAACCACCGAGAGACAGAACAACGCCAGCCCAGCATCGAGTTTCGAATTCGACCAAAGTGTGTCCCGATAGCGTGAAATATCTAAAGGCCGCGGGAAAGTGTTCGAATAATTCAAGGTATCTAAACTAGCGGTGTCGGTGTTGTGTGTGACGGTTGTAGCTGTACATTTCTGTCAGCTGCATATAGTATAGGCGGACTTGTTGGGGAAAAAAGTGTCGTGGGCGTAAATCTGAAAGGAGCAAGGGAAGTATTGGAGAAACATGGCTGCCATCCCGTGTCCGCTTTATTTGAACCCTTTCGCTACGAACAGCGTATACAAAGTGAGATTCAAGCGTATTTTCAATAATGTATTCTTCTCACGCTCCGTTCCTCTTTTTTTTCTTCTTCTTTCTTCTTGTTACTTCTCGTTTCGTATCTTACATTTGCTCTCTTTGTTTCTTTGTATATCTTACATTTAGTCCGTTCTTTCTTTCTTCCTCCTTGTTTTAATTAAATTGTCCCTACACGCAGCAAATTTTCTCCGAGGCCACTCTCTTTCTAAGAAGAGGTGAAGATCTTCTCTCGTACGTGTGTCTCCAAGCGCGACGTTGAAACAGGGATCTCTCGCCGCTTAAAGAAAAAGACCAATTGCGCCAACGTCCTCGTAAAAAGCGAACTTTCCCCGCGCGCGTCGACTTTCCAAATCAAAATCCCGCAACTTACCATCTTCGAACTTCCGCCGCGAAGTATTGGAATTAATACTAGAACTACCGACGAACAAAACATTTCAAAATGACTGGTTTTTAATATTGTTAGAGCCCAATATATAATGATAGAATATTTTCACTTTTATTGATTTATTACTTTCTTACAGAGGAATTCCATGTTATGTAGTACATATCTGGTATTAATTAATTTTGTATTATTATTAATTTAAAAACGTTGTACAAAACGAGGAAATTGGTTAATTCGGTTGCGTTATGCAGTTTGTCGGTTATGCCTTTTGCACTTTGACAAGTACCAGTCATTTTGGTATAAGTAGCAAAAAGGTATAAATACAAAGTTATTTTCATTTCAAATAAAAATAAATAAATAAATGAATAAAATTAATTATATTAATATTATTCCTCTAGTTATTGTTGCAAAGGTCAATACATCATTGCGAATAAAAAGTATAACATAAAATGGGAATTTTAAGATAAAATTGTCATTTTGACCGGCACTGGTACAAGTAGCCATGATACAAAGTTACATTCATTTCGAATAAATAAAAATAAATAAATAAATAAAATTCATTATATTATTTCTCTACTTATTGTTGCAAAGGTCAATACATCATTGCGGGTAAAAAATGTAACATGAAATGAAAATTTTAAGCTAAAATTGTCATTTTGACTGGCACTGGTACAAGTAGCCATGATACAAAGTTACTTTCATTTCGAATAAATAAAAATAAATAAATAAATAAAATTCATTATATTATTTCTCTACTTATTGTTGCAAAGGTCAATACATCATTGCGGGTAAAAAATGTAACATGAAATGAGAATTTTAAGATAAAATTGTCATTTTGACCGGCACTGGTACAAGTAGCCATGATACAAAGTTACTTTCATTTCGAATAAATAAAAATAAATAAATAAATAAAATTCATTATATTATTTCTCTACTTATTGTTGCAAAGGTCAATACATCATTGCGGGTAAAAAATGTAACATGAAATGAGAATTTTAAGATAAAATTGTCATTTTGACTGGCACTGGTACAAGTAGCCATGATACATAGTTATTTTCATTTCGAATAAATAAAAATAAATAAATAAATAAAATTCATTATATTATTTCTCTACTTATTGTTGCAAAGGTCAATACATCATTGCGGGTAAAAAATGTAACATGAAATGAGAATTTTAAGATAAAATTGTCATTTTGACTGGCACTGGTACAAGTAGCCATGATACATAGTTATTTTCATTTCGAATAAATAAAAATAAATAAATAAATAAAATTCATTATATTATTTCTCTACTTATTGTTGCAAAGGTCAATACATCATTGCGGGTAAAAAATGTAACATGAAATGAGAATTTTAAGATAAAATTGTCATTTTGACTGACACTGGTACAAGTAGCCATGATACATAGTTATTTTCATTTCGAATAAATAAAAATAAATAAATAAATAAAATTCATTATATTATTTCTCTACTTATTGTTGCAAAGGTCAATACATCATTGCGGGTAAAAAATGTAACATGAAATGAGAATTTTAAGATAAAATTGTCATTTTGACCGGCACTGGTACAAGTAGCCATGATACAAAGTTACTTTCATTTCGAATAAATAAAAATAAATAAATAAATAAAATTCATTATATTATTTCTCTACTTATTGTTGCAAAGGTCAATACATCATTGCTGGTAAAAAATGTAACATGAAGTGAGAATTTTAAGATAAAATTGTCACTTTGACTGGCGTGGTGGTTCCAGTGTTAAGTTGAAAGATGAACAAGTAAAAATAAAATTGTAAAACCGAAGGTATACTCGCTGGAGGAGTCGAAAGTGGAAAGGAACTGAAGGTACTGATCCATCGAGATGAAACGACCGCCCATCGCGCTACGGTGGGTGGCCGTAAATATGTCAGCGTGGATTAAATGAGCTACCAGTCCCGCGTGGGACGGCCTGATTATTGGGTCAGCCGTTCCCCGATTTCCGGCAAGTTAACGCGTCGCGTAAACTTCGCCGCGATACAATGAAATTCTAATTGCGGCCTTAACGCCGCTCGAGGGTGTCGTATCTCGTACAAACGATCCGCGGGAAACCGGTGCCGTGAATTCGAACGCGTGGAATTACTTCCGGCCGAATCCTCTTTCCTCTCGTCGCCTTGTACACCTTGTTTTGCCTTTCTCGCCGAGCGCGGCAACTGCCCGGTATTTCTTTTGTTTTGAACTTGCTGAAATCTTGATTACCTTGGCGAAGGTAAAGAAAGAGGGAGAGGGAAAGAGAAATTGTTTCAGCCAATCTGCTGATTGGATCGTCGGCGAAAGTTTTCTTTCAGGTGCACTCTTGAACCCCTGGTTGTCTCGTTTTACTGTTTATCCAGTCGAATGTAGCATAAACGGGTCGGTTCTCCAACTGGTGTGTTCGGGACAGTATACATATATACACGCTTCATTTTGAATAGATTCGCTGTGGACGTAAATCTTTGTGCTCCGGGGCTTGTAAAAAAATACATGAGCCTCCTTCGGGGATCTGCTTCTTTCTTTCCATCGTTTTCCTGATCGTTCAATTCACTGGAAAATGTCTTTCCTTCTTTTTGTTTCTTTTTTTTTTTTTTTTATTTATTTATTTGTTCGTTTGTTTATTCGGATCGAGTGAAATGTTGCATCGACGATCGACGAGACGATGATTCCCTGTGAGATAATTAAATTAACTCAATTGCCGGGGAAATTGCGACTGAATTGAACTGAAAGTTTACAATGAACCGCGACAGTGAAATTTCGCTAATCAGACTGATTCGAAACTACAATGCAGCGTACAGTACAGAAAGTATAGCGTAGTATAGCGTACAATACAGAAAAATATTCGAGGCGCGGTACTTTCAACGATATTTAATAAAACAATTTTTTTAATCATCACCGCAAGAAGAACGCAACAACGTCCGCAAATTAACAACTCTGCCAATTAAATTTCCAAATTTTCCCGCGGAAACAGCACGCGGGATTTATTCATCCGCGGAACAACAACTCTTTCTGCAATTTTCTCTATTTCAATGACGAACGATCGTTTTCACCGTTCCCTCTCTTTCATTTGCTCCGCAGACAAGCCGGTGGTCAAGGTGATAATGGAGCCGGAAACGCCGGTGAACGAGGCGGACCGGCAAAACGTCTCGCTGACCTGCGAGGTTGTTACTGGAAATCCGGCAAGCCTGACCGCCGTCCGATGGTACTTGGACGGGGACCTGCTGAAAGAACTTCCGGATTGCACGAGAAACAGCAGCGCGACCACCACGACCACCGAGGAATCTTTAATTTTCTGCGATATCGATCCGAGCAAGCTGCTGCTGGAAGCGGTGGGTCGTTCCTTTCACGGCAACTACTCTTGCGAGGGTAGAAACGACGCTGGCTGGGGACCACTTTCACCGAGTGCACCTGTCATGGTCCATTGTGAGAGCGCCCCCCCTTCCCCCTTTTAATTTTTAATTCCCCCGATCCGATCCATTTGCCCGTTCGTTCCATACGAATCCCGAGCCATCAGGCCTCTGCTCGCTGTTTGCGCGAATTTGTCCACCTCCATTCGTATCGCCCGAGATTTATTTGCCTGACACGGCAAAAAAGTTCTCCCGGATGTCGAAGAATCTCCTTGTAGTTTCCTTACGATTATCTACTCTTCTCTTTCTGTTTTTCCTTTTTTTTTTTTTAAATAATTTTTCGTTCAGAAAAAGATTCGAATTTTTCTTTCTCTGGATCTAGCCAAATCATTAACGAGTGCTCTGATCGAAATTTAAACAGTGATGTGTCTCTAATAAAAATTCATCGTCCCTTCAGTTTTTGAGAACAGAGGTTTGTCAGTTGGAATTTTAAACGTTTTCGACACCTTCAGAAATTTGGGGAAGAGTAAACATACATATACATATATAGTAATATAGTACATATGTATATAGTAATAATCCCAAAAGCTGAACCATGTAAATTCTAGCACTTCTAACATCCTTTTTTCACACTGTTTACAATCTGTCTCGTAATAATCCTAAAAAGCTTAAAATTATTCTATCCTTTTTTCCAACAAAATGCACGCTGAACTGATCCGCAATAGAAAGAAAAAGAAACTTAGAACAGCGAGGATTTTCGTCGCGACTAAATGTTGCATCTTGTTATGCGATAGACAAACCTGGCCCAGCATCGATCTCGTACGAACCGAAGCAGGTAATAAAGAAACGCCCGTTAACGATCACGTGCTTCGTACTGGATCCAGGACGTCCGAAAGTAGTTGGCTTCAAATGGTTGCGAGGCCTCCACAGACTCCCGGATGAAAACAACGCGACCCTAACCATCGAGTCGGTTAATTTGGAAACCGAGGCGAACTTCACTTGTCTGGCTTACAACGAAGCCGGCGACGGCGACCCGGCTACCACGTTTATCGACGTGTCTGGTGAGTTGCAAAGTTACTCGAAAAACTTTCTAATCCACCGTCAAATAAATCTGTCGTCCGTCTTTCCCCTTGACGTTCGTTCCGCAGTTCGAGATTCGTTCGTGCGCCACCGAGCGGGGCGAGATAGGAAGCGTTAAATCTTTCAGAATTTCGGAAATGTGGTGGTGAAATTGGTGGCGAGTCACATCACCAGGGATTCCCCTAGATTTTCTATTCCCGGTGTATTTGATGGAATCGTGAAGAAACAGTTGATCTTTTACATTTCCATGAATATATTAAGAAAGGCAGGAATTTTTTTGAATTTACCGAGGCAATTAAAATTTGTAAAAGTGTGTTTTGTGTTGAAAAAAAAGAGAGGGAGAGAGAATTTTTGAAACAAGTTTTTTAACAAATTTTGTTGAATTTTATTGTATATTTTCCCTGCGTATTTTCTGTATTTTCTGTCGATTATAATTTAATCTATTGAAATATGTAATTAAGAATTTGAATAACATATGTTTTTAGTATATTTTTTATAAATGTCAATACTTTGTAACAAGTAACTAAATATAATTCTATTTATGTATTTTTTAATTTTATATGTCTGTAAAAATCGTTATCAATTCGACCAAAGGATGCAAGGAAGTCAGTTAATTTCGTCTTCTGTGAATTTTCATATTTTTCCATTCTTTTAACTTATAGTTGACGGTATACTAAGCACAAAGTATACAACTATGTATGGATCATAAATTTTTATATAGCTCCGTAAGCAGTTCTTGTAAAATTTGCATGTCAAAAGGAATAATTCTCGTACTACACACACACATGTCTGACACTAGGCTGACCGTTTCTACTTAAGTTCTACTCTCGCTCATTCTGTCGCATTCTGCCTTTCCCAGAGGTTTTAATTCTATGTTTGCTCAACATTCCATTAATAAATAAAAATCATACAAATTACTCGATGACGTGAAAATTATTTTTTAAACAAAAAGAATTTTGTAGAAAAAGAAAGAAGAAATAAGAAGCTCTCAACGTTCAAAATGGTCAAGATATCATAATCCGTGCGTGAAAAAATCATATAAAGACATAAATGAAACACGTTATTCTTGCAGAACGAAAAAAAAAAAAAAGAAAAACTAAACTTACATAAAAGGGTAGAAATGGGGTTTCGTAGTTTTCATGCTATATCTGAATCAACGTTTCGTATCTTAAGAACTGTGTAAACTTGCCTTTCTCCCCTCTATTTCCTCTTGTTTCTCGTTTTCATTTCTTCTTCTTTTTCCTTTATATTTAATTCGTACACGTACGCCAGCAACATGCATTGCGTTATATTTGCCAGCACGTTTTGCATAGTATTCCCGAGACATAATGGACGCGTATTTCGTATGAAAACATCGGAACGATAGTAATGCTACAACACTTTGCTGAGTTTCAGAGAAGAACCAACAGCAACTAATCGCTCGACGAATGTTCACGCTCGAGTTCAACGTTTCTCCACGTCAGCTCTTCCTTTCCTTTTTTCCAATTGCAAGATAGATTACACAGAACCCGCAGCCTATAACATCCGATAAATTGAAATAATAATTCGATTAACGTTTCGTCCGGAAAATTATCAAAGCATTTCACCGTGTAATGTCAACGTGTGACTGTGATTGTCTCTTGTATATTCCTTCATTGTAACCCCTTGCGCTGGCAACTGATTGCGGACCATAACGAGTGACCAAACCGTATAAAATAATTCGTCGCTTGCTCTCTGACCTCGTCGGTGTGTTATCAACGGAGAAGAAATTAGAAAGAAATAACAAATTTATTATTATACTGAAATATATTTAAAATAGAGAAGATATTGCAATATTTTGGGATAAAAAATTCTCAACTTAATTATTTCCAAACAAACTACAAACTACAACTCGCTACAGCTCGCTAATCTCTCTCTTTCTGGCTTCTTCGAGGCTCAGTTCTTCGCGATTCACAATTCCGCATTCACACGCCAGTCGTTTCGATCACCTCGGGTCAGAAAATTCCGCGTCGTGTCGCAACCAACCGTATCTCGCACTCTCGTTAACAATGCTCCGGGTTCCGGCCTGTTTCGAGAACTGGTTCAACTTGTTCTTCGATTGTCAATAGCGGCGCCAGCGTTTATCAAGAAGCTTCTCCCTTACAACGGCTTCGTGTACAACGCGCCGAACGTTAGCCTGATGTGCTGGGTGGAGTGCGCCCCGATGTGCAATATCTCGTGGCTGAAGGACGGCGTGCCGATGAACTTCGCGAAAACGAACCGATACTACCTGTCGAACGTTTATCATCCGCCTGATCCGCGAACGAACGACTTCGAGAGCATCCAGTCGACCCTGGTGTGGAACCTAACCGCCTGGCCGAGCGGCCAGCTGAATCGCGTCGAGGACAACGTCAGATTCACCTGCGAGAGCAGCAGCAACAGCATCGGCCCCGGGGTGAAGAGCAGCACTCAGTTCAACGTGGAATGTGAGTTCGTTGGATGTTTCGGCGATTTTTAGATCGTAGATCATTGTTGTTGTCGGCAGGATTTTGGAAATTTGGTTTCAATGATAATTCGATTAAATCGGATTAAACTGAAAATGCCAGAATTAATAGTTAATAAATATGCGCGGTGATATTCGACTGAGAATTGAGGATCGTGATTGACGTTAGAACTATCGACAATTGAAGCGTAAAGATTGTATCAATGAAAAAACTCGTGTATTTTAAAGACTGTAACGTGTATTACGTGTATTATAAAGATTGTAATGTGTATTATGAAGATTGTCCAAATCATACTTGGACAAATAACGTTGTGAGTTCTGCGGAATTACATTCGGAAGAAATTATAAATCGGTAGTTCTAACTTCGATCGCGAGAATTTCTACAACTGGCAATTTTAACACTTTTGCAAGAAGGAAAAGATTCGTGAAAGATTAAAAAATAACATTGCAACTCTATCGATTTGAATTGAAGCCCGACAACTTTGAACATCTTGTTTTCAGCCTAAGGAAAATCCTCAAAAACGTGTATGGAGTTCACAAAATCGAATAATAGAAAAAAAAAACAGACGTTTGATTTATGAAAGAAAAATATAGCTTCCAGTCCAAATGTAGTCGCGCAGCTTCGAGTACACGTGAATTTATTGTCGTTCCTCTTTTCTCTTTCCACGCGGCAGTCCCGCCGGAGAACATGACGATATCAAAGAAAATGATAAACGTGACGGTGGACACGATACCGGAAACGGTGACCTGCAACGCGAGAGCGCAGCCGGAGCCAACCTATCGTTGGTTTCGGGAAGGTTCCTGGTCGGACACCATCATCTACGGCCGTGTTCTCGACCTGAAGATAGCGGTGCCACGGCGCAGCAACGGGACATACTACTGCGAGGCGTCGAATCGCCACGGCAGCCGTAACATCTCCATGATCATGAATGTTCAATGTAAGTAAAGAAACATCCGGACGCGGCGCGAGCATCCAAGTCATCTCGAGTGACGTTCAAATATTGAAAAAGATTTGTATTCTCAAATGTTTGGCCTTGAGTGTTTCTCAAGGAGGAGCTGGCAGGATAGACTTGCTTCTCTACTTCTTCAAATATTTCTCTACTTCGTTTTCTCTGCTTCTCTTCTCTTTTTTTTTTAATAATTTTATTTATGAAAAGAGACGACGATTCTTTGTATCAGTAGTACACTAGTGCTCGTTTAAGCGTCACTATCTCTACCATCACTAATTCTTACGATTGGCACTATCTCACTCTATATATAGAGCTAACGTAACACGCGAAATTTGACACTTGCACGATACAAAACGAGTGATATATCTCGGTATAATTTGCGTCCTCTTTCGGTCGCGACTGCAGACGCTTAAGTGGGCTGTAGTTTGAAATGGAGGTGTTTGAAGTGGTTGGAGTAGAGGGAGGGAGCGTAGCTTGAAAATATATAATTTAATTAGAGATGCGTTTAGTTAGAAACGAAATGACCAGTTGGTGAATTATTGACTAACTGGAAGAGCTGCTTCACTTTTCAATAAATTCCAGTAAACCAACACTCGACATGTTTTCGAAACGCGCTACATATTTCATATTTCTTTCTCTTCCAATGAATATAATTTGAACGTGCAACTCTCATTTCCAATTTCAATTATTTCCAATAATTTTTGCCACGGGAATAAAATTACTGGCGAGAGATAAAAAAAATTGTTCGAATTGCCAAAAATGTATAAAGGTTCTGTGAAAAATTACAGACTGATCGTTCTGATCACTTTGACGAATCTTAAAGCTAAAGTTACAGTGGTAAGTCTATAAAATTTCTCAGACATATTAAAAAATACTCAGTCTAAGTTAACCTGATTTATTCGATGAAAATTACAGACTGATCGTTCCGATCACTTTGACGAATCTTAAAGTTAAAGTCACAGTGGTAAATCTATAAAATTTCTCAGACATATTAGAAAATAATCATTCTAAATTAACCTGATGGTTTCCACGTTGAAATCACAGTAATAAGTATGTAAAATTCATATAAATTAATTAAAAATTAAATTACAATTAATTATTTATTTAAAAAAATAAATTGAATTAATTAAAATTAATTAAGTTAAATTAAAAGAGTTTCTATAATTCTAGCTATAATTGAAACTGCCTCTATTGTATCGAAAATCTTCCGAAAAATCCCGAGAAATTGACAATTATACTCGTTCACAATCTCCAATAAATCTTCGAAATTTCTTTGAAAACAAAACAAAAAAAAGAAATAAACTTAAGGCAAGGGAGATTTGATAAATTTTTATAGAAAGTTACAAATTGTTCATTCCAATCTATTTCGATCGTTCCAACATGAAAAGGAAAAAACCATCTTGGCTAACTGCTGCTGCTGCCATCCAGTGAAATCATTAGCGGAAAACAATGATTAAATGCTCGTTTAAGACGCGCGCGCGTCCGAGCGACGCGGATGTATTCGAGCAAAACCGAGGTAAGTTAATGTGACTTTCTTCCTGTGCAGTTAAGCCAGAATGTCACGTGGAAAGGGAACGAATAGACGGAGAGGATTACGTGGTGTGCTCGGCGACGGCCAATCCGAAGGAGACCGATTTCGTTTGGTCGTTGAAGAGTGACAATGACACGCTGGAGCAGATCGCCGAGACGCGCAATGGGAAGAGCTACATCCGCCTCGATACGTCGGTAACCAATTTCCGGACGTACGTTTGCGTTGCTAACAATTCGATCGGCCACTCGAATCCCTGCGATCGCGACGTACCAGGTACGTACTTAATATCCTTTCTTCGTTTCCGCTTCGGTGAGTCGATGGTACTGTGGAGGCAAGCAACAGGCATCAAAGAGGCTAAATTCGATTAAATGAAACGTGACGATATATTTTAAAACGAGTTATTTCGCCATTTCATCGTTTCCGACATTCGTTACATTTATGATGACGTTGCTGTGTCATTTGGTTCGGACGATAATATATAAAGCCAAAACTGATATACACAAGTGTGGATAACTTGTCTCGTGCCGTGTTTAAGCTCGAGTAAATTAGAAGCATTGAGAGAGAAAAGAATAAAAATGTTACTGATAATGATATGAAACAATTGTGACTTCGGCAATGACTTAATAGTAGAAATAAATTTTGACGCCGTTCGTGGTTGAACGTTGTCAAAATTGATCAACTTCGTTTTCGAAAAGTCAAGCGTCGAAATTTATCAGAAAAACAAAACAAGAACTAACTTCCGCCTGGCTTGTATAATGAAAATCTTGCAGCACGCGAGTCAGTCGAAAATATTTCCCGACGAAATTTTTTTTCATCCCTCGGTTACACGCGAAAGGTTCTCGAATAGCCGCGTTTAATTGAAATAACAGCGTTTTTTTAATGACGAGGATCTGGTACGGCGGTTTGATGACGCACGGTTTTGAAAACATCGCGATTTAATTACGAAACGGGACTCCACTCGAAACCGCCGCGAGCATTTACGGGCGAACGAATTCCTTCTGCACAGTCATTTTTTCCTCTCCGTGATATCAACATTGCCATCGTGGCTCTTCTATTATGTCGTCTGGCTGTAATTCGTTTTGCCCGAGACCAGCAGGGATCTGAAAGCCGTGGCGAGATTAAGAAAGTCGTGGACCATTCGAAAACATAGAAAGAAACACACCGGCCAAGTACTTCGTGCGTTTACCTCTCGTTTAAACCTCTTAGGTTTACAAATCCTCTTGCTGGAGGATTTCCAGTTTCGAGGAAACACATCCCCGTCGATCGCGTTTCTAATAAATTCAAACGATCACGCCAACAAATTTCTTTAGCGAAAGTTTTTGGTTTCTAATTTTTTTCAACAGGACTGACCACATCTTTAACAAATTGATTCGCAAATTAATTGACGGCGTAATTTTAAAAGAAACGTGATTCTTTTAGACACAGAAAGGGAATGAGATGATTAAAATTGAAAAGGAATTCTTTTTTTATTTTTTTTATACGAATGGAGTCGTTTTCAAATAAATTATATATCCCGTGAAAGAAATTTTAAACGGCTCGCTGCACAACTTGCAGCACTTTTGTATTCCGGAGGTAAAAGTGCATTGCAAAGTTGCAGAAGCGAGATTACTTTCTTGCCAGCGTTGCTAAATATTCATAGAGAGACACTTTACATTTTTTGCGAAAATCTTTCAGGGATTAAAATTATTTTCATATCATTATTTTCATATTCCGAAGTAAAGAAATGGATGGTAGACGCGCTCGAAATTAAAACATTGGCATCGTCTAATAATCCAGTAAAAATTCTTTAGTCAAATTTCGAAAACTCTGAAATTTTATTTTGTTTGCAAATAATGGATTGTTTGCTTTGGTTTCCAATGTTTATTTACATTTTTCAATCAAAATAAACAGACCAATGTTGGTAAACAAAGCGAAATTTCAAGGTTTTCGAAACTCCGATAGCAAATTTTCGAAAATTTTTCAAAACAAAGTGTGTTTATACAAAAAAATGTAATTAAACATTGCAAACCATAATAAACAATCAAGAAATGTAAATAAACATTGGAAACCAAAATAAACGGACCATTGTTTGCAAACAAAGCGAAATTTCAAAGTTTTCGAAACTCCGATTGCAAATTTTCGAAAATTTTTCAAAACAAAGAGTGTTTATACCAAAAAAATGTAAATAAACATTGGAAACCATAATAAACAATCAAAAAAGTGTAAATAAACATTGGAAACAAAAATAAACAGACCAATGTTTGCAAACAAAGCGAAATTTCAAAGTTTTCGAAACTCCGATTGCAAATTTTCGAAAATTTTTCAAAACAAAGTGTGCTTATACCAAAAAAATGTAAATAAACATTGGGAACCATAATGAACAATCAAAAAAAATTTAAATAATCATTGGAAATCAAAATAAACAGACCAATGTTTGCAAACAAAGCGAAATTTCAAAGTTTTCGAAATTCCGATTGCAAATTTTCGAAAATTTTTCAAAACAAAGTGTGTTTACATCAAAAAAATGTAAACAAACATTGGGAACCATAATAAACAATCAAAAAAATGTAAATAAACATTGGAAATCAAAATAAACAGACCAATGTTTGCAAACAAAGCGAAATTTCAAATTTTTCGAAATTTCGGTTCCAAGTGTACTTACCTATACTTACCCAGTATCCATGAATTATCCTTAAGTGTTAGAAACGATTTTATAATAATTCACTTAGAACTAAGTTAACATACAAATACTTACCCATACTTACCCAATATGAACTGATTATACGTGTTGTAGAAAATTTCATTGCACAATGAACCCATCATTTAATAAACTCCAGCAATTGAAATATTTCAATACAACAGTCGAATTTAATATTTTACATGCAACAATAATTTGCAATCGGGATTTCGAAAACGAAAATTTCGCTTTGCTTGCAAATATTGGTCTATTTATTTTTGTTTCCAATGTTTATTTACACTTTCTTGATTGTTTATTATGGTTTCCAATGTTTATTTACATTTTTTTGAATAAACACACTTTGTTTCGAAAAATTTTCAAACATTTCAAATCGGAATTTCGAAAACTTTGAAATTTCGCTTTGTTTGCAAACATTGGTCTGTTTATTTTGGTTCCCAGTGTTTATTTANCACACTTTGTTTTGAAAAATTTTCGAAAATTTGCAATCGGAGTTTCGAAAACCTAGAAATTTCGCTTTGTTTGCAAACAATGGTCTGTTCATTTTGGTTCCCAATGTTTATTTACATTTTTTTGATTGTTTATTATGTTTCGCAATGTTTATTTACATTTTTTTTGTATAAACTCACTTTGTTTTGAAAAATTTTCGAAAATTTGCAATCGGAGTTTCGAAAACCTTGAAATTTTGCTTTGTTTGCTAACATTGGTTTGTTTATTTTGGTTTCCAATGTTTATTTACATTTTTTTGATTGTTTGTTTTGGTTCCCAATGTTTATTTACATTTTTTGGTATAAACACACTTTGTTTTGAAAAATTTTCGAAAATTTGCAATCGGAGTTTCGAAAACCTAGAAATTTCGCTTTGTTTGCAAACAATGGTCCGTTTATTTTGGTTTCCAATGTTGATTTACATTTTTTTGATTGTTTATTATGGTTTGCAATGTTTATTTACATTTTTTTTGTATAAACTCACTTTGTACTGAAAAATTTTCGAAAATTTGCAATCGGAGTTTCGAAAACCTTGAAATTTCGCTTTGTTTGCAAACATTGGTCTGTTTATTTTGTTTTCCAATGTTTATTTACATTTTTTTTGATTGTTTATTATGGTTCCCAATGTTTATTTACATTTTTTTGGTATAAACACACTTTGTTTTTAAAAATTTTCGAAAATTTGTAATCGGAGTTTCGAAAACCTTGAAATTTCGCTTTGTTTGCAAAATTGGTTTGTTTATTTTGGTTTCTAATGTTTATATACATTTTTTGATTGTTTATAATGGTTCCCAATATTTATTTACATTTTTTTTGATATAAACACACCCTGTTTTGAAATATTTCCTAAACTTTGAAATGGGAATTTCGAAAAATTTGAAATTTTGCTTTGTTTGCAATCTTTGGAATGTTTTTTTTTGATTTTCTATGTTTATCTACATTTTTTTGTTGTATACACACTGTGTTTTCTTAAATTTTCGAAAATTTGCTAGTGGAATTTCGAAAATTTTCAAATTTCGCTTTGTTTGCAAACACTGAACTGTTTATTTTTGTTTCCAATCTTCATTTACATTTTTTTATTGTTTGTTTTGGTTTGCAATGTTTGTTTGCATTTTTTTTTATTTTGGCTGTACAAAATTTAGACAAAATGAAATCTCATTCGTAATAGAGTTCGCTGATAAAATAAATTCCACGCAAACTTCTAGCTAATGTGTAGTCTCCGATTCTCGCGTGGGGTTACAATATTAAAACGAAGCTATTTATCGCGCTCAAAGCACTTCCAATTAACCAAATTTTTACTTCTCGCGATACTTCTCGCGATCCAGCAGCGAACCAGAGGCGAAAACACATTTTTCCATGTCGGAGAGCTCCAACACGAACGTTTCGACTTGAAGTTCATAAATTAGATTCCCCTTGAATATCCCTTAAATTCGGAAGTCTAATTTATTCCAAGCTAATCGCGCTCGCTCTCATGATTCGCATTTCTCGTTTATCTTGCTCGTTTATTTTAAAAAAAAAAGAGTGAAAAAAACCGTCAAAACGGCGATAATTATTTTTCGTGTGATACCGATCAACCTGATAAATCGTTATCCTTTCTCCGCGACAGAGAAATGACATTTAAACGTTCTTAATAATGAACGTTCCTTCTTGAATAACACGTAAAATGGGACGAAATTAAATACGGAATGTCAGAACTTACATTGCGATAGTTTCCTTTACGACAAACATGAATTATCGACGTGTCTAGCTAAACTCGAACGAACTAATTTATTATTAACAGAATCATTAGTCATTTAACAAAGAAATGTACGCGATTGTGGAAATAAAAATTCAGAAAGAGTCAAGTTGATTTCAAGTAGATTGGATTTAGCTCTGGCAAGCACGAAATCATTAAATTATAAATGATCTTAAATCTAAAGTGACTGTTACGTGATCAGAATACATTAAAGCTAAGTTACGAATGGCTCGAAATAAGAACAAGAAGCTAGAAGCTCTCCCCGACTAGCAAATTTAACCTCTCGTTTTACAAATTTCAGTTTCTACATTGCGCGTTTGTTTCCCAATTGGAGAAGCGTACCGTCACAAGTGGACGTTTCTCGTGATTAGTAGTTTTACTCTTTACATGCAAACAGTATCGATATGATGATCGTCGTTAAAGTTGGGACTCGGTTACATAGCAAAATGATTCAAAAAAACTCTTCCAGCGGGACGTTTATCCGCCGACACTTTTAAATGGCTGTCGTTTCTTCGAAGGGTAATGCAACTTCACCCCGGAGGATATGAATGAATCTTCCATAAACATTTTACGGGGCGGTTATTAAAATTTTCATAGAAATAGCTTCGTTGCGCCTTGTGATTTAGCATATCGGAGAGATACGAAACAGTGCCACTGTTAACAGTAAATGGCCGAGAGGTATAAATTAAATGTACGCGTTGACTCGCAGTCACGAACGGTATTGCAAAATTATCTCGCAAGTTTAATTACAGTGGTGTTTAGTAATGTCGCTTTTAATTCTATGGTCACCAAGTGAGTAACAAGTATTGTACACCTTTCGTTTCTTCCTAGCTCACCACGGACATCGAAGTAAGTTCCACTAACATGTACTCTGTTATGTATGAAATATTAAATGTTTTGGATTTTTCCCAGATGTTAAAAATTATCATACAACTTACTATAAATATAAGCAATATTCATAAAAAGAATTATATCATAAAATACCGTGCTTTGAAATATGAAACAGCTAAAAAGTATCCAAATTTGTAGAACGATTCTCCTAAATTACTCCAAATTCTCATAACCACCGCATCACATTCAACGACTTGAAAAAATTGCAATCCTGTTTTGCAAAACGTGCATGTGGTTTTGCAACGTTCGTTTGGCACGACTGGTTTATCTGAATTACATTTCACGATCGAAATCTCCTTCTCAAGAGTAAGAATCGCTAAAACCCTAAAAAAAAAAAAAAAAAAAAAAAACCAAGGAAGATTGAAAAACACGATCCAGATTACGGTGTTTGCTTTTTTTAAGGAGCAAAAAGCGGGTTTTACGGGTTGCTTTAAACTAAAAATATTTCATCGGGTTGATTAAAATGGAGCACCCCGTATAAGCGCGTAAACTCACGTAATAAAAGTAGCTTCTAGTAAAATATCGTAGAGCACGGGAGAACGGATTAAACCTAAGCAGAAATATGAAAAGCGTCCCCCAGGGACGGAGGCTGGATCGTCTTACTTTCTGTATTTATAACATTTCGCAGCTGTCGTCGAGATTTGAATTGCAACCGTTCTGTTTCCAACTGCTTTGTTTCGTAATCAGGAATACCGTGGCCACCGTGAAATCTCATTCACCGTGCATGCAACACGCCCACGGAGAGATCTCTCTCTCGGCGAGAATTATTTTTGCAAAAATGTCGGACCTTCGGAGAGATTTGAAAAATTTCGCAATTCAAAGATTCGACGAGTTACCTTTTGTGCAATCTTTGCAGGAAAAAAGAAAGAAAAAAGAAAAAGGAAAATTTTCACAGTGTTTTTTTAGAGAGTACCGGCTCGCGTTGGACGTTTTTAATATTTTCAATCGCGGGGGCTTTTAAAAGCTTTCAGAATTTTCCTTTCGAATGTTTATAATCTTTCGTGCTCTCTATATCCGATAAAAGTCTTTCGGTGTTTCTCTAGAGAGAAATTCTTTTTTTTTCTCCCCCCCCCCCCCCCTTCAAAAGAAACACACGAAAAAAGAACAATTGCCTGTTTCGTTCGCGAAACAATCTTGGAGTATATTTATCGGAGAATTTCTAGAATCATCATCGCGACAGGCATAGAGATGTAATAAACTTGGCAATAAATCGATCCGTATTTCAGGTCACATACCATGGTGGCATCCTTTGGAAGGAAATCTTCTTCTGATCGTCATCGTTGTCGCGGTTGTCCTTATACTTGTGATGATCATATTGTGCGTGGTGATCTTCATCGTCTGTCGGCGCAAACGGAATCAAATGAAATGTAAGTTGCACTTTCTTTCACCCGCTATGACTGTCATCGTGATCTGTTGTTCACAACGATTCGCATGACGTAGCCGATCCACTGGACTTTCTTCGAGATTTAAAAACTAGCAGCTTCCGAAAGAAATTTAAAATATTCGACAGTAGTTGAATCGAGCATCGGTCAGAGCTTTAAATTCAGAAAATTTTGACTATTCATACATAGCTAAATTAATATGCACGGCTCAAATTTCAATACTAAAAAACACTAAAGGAAAATTGGAAAATTTTCGAGTTTAGTTGACTTTACGACGATATCTCGTCAAGTCAGAATTTTTTTTTTTTTTCTTTCGATGGAAATCTCGAGGAAATCCGTTTGAAAATCAAACGGTCATCAAACGATAGAAAAACACTTCGAAACATACGAAACACACACACGCGCGCACGCGCGCGGTGACATAATTTACATTCCACATTGTCGTTCCACGACAAATAAGCATTACTTAAACTATGAAGGTAGTCGGATCGACGACAACGTTTGCAAGCGCGACGTTGTTTCCGCGAGACTTCCGTAATAAACGAAATTTACCGAAACGTCGGGCATTTGCATAATCTGCATAATTCGCGAAATTCAAACTTAACGTGTATCAGTTTTACAACCTATCCGTTTTACACGTTTCCGGGCGAAATTAGTCGTACACGTCGTTGCGCGAAAATTTACGAAGGCCACCCGGCACACAACAATGCCACTTTCATAATGAACCATCGAATCGTAATTCCCCCGGCGAGGTGGCGTTCGCTCCCATTGTCAAGATTGAAAAATTGCAAGCACGTAATGCATATTTGTCGTCTCGTGGCATCTCGCGTGGTGGGGTGCATTTCATGCATCACTAGGGCAGTTGTTATCGAGATAACGAAAGACAAAAAAAGACCGTGAAAAAAGAGTGGAAAAAAAAACGGTAATAACAGGTGTTTTTTATTATAACGTGTTAACATGGTTTTCTACATGCGTGCAGTGATCAACAGAACAAATTTCACTGTGAAAATTTCCGTGTAAAATCTGCGATTTCTGCGATTTTTCCGAAATATAATATTTTTCGAAAACAGTTCACAGTTTTACACGTCGTAAAGTTGATGTTTCTAGGTAAATAGTCTCGGGAAGAATTACTTTTCTTTTTTTTTATTAGAAAGTAAGAACGACGAACAAACCAGATAATTAACAAAATGAAACAGATAAGAAAATTATTCACATAGTCTGGAATGTTAAAAAAGAAAAAGCAGAATTTCTTGAATTTCTAATCAAAGGACAGATAAAATTGTCTTCGTGTATGAATTAATATTTGGTAATTAATTCGATTATCCTCGTACAATTCTTCGACACGATCGTCGTATCAAACAATTTTTATTTCATCCTCAAATAAGCAAGCGAATAATTTCACGACTCGCAGATTTGTTCAGAACGGAACAATTTCCCTTTCGCTTTTGATCGGTGTTTCCTTTCCGACTTTTCCGTTCAATGTTTCACGCCGAAAGGTCCGATTCAACGAGACCTCTAGAAGTTCACTAAAGAAAAGCTAATACTCTTGTAGATCACTGTACACACATAACTGACCATACGTTGCTCTTTGTCCAACCGAGATTTCCTCTCGTCCCGCTGATATTCATTCGCTCACTTTGCTCGTACTGTTTGCAACGTTGTGCCAGCCTCGTCGAGAAAAACAAAAAGAGAGTAACGGTAGTTCATGACAATCGTTCGCGATGCGCAACGATATCGGGAATCGGCGGCGCTGAGGAAAAAAGAGAAAAAGAAAAAAGGAAAAACGCGGCCGCTCGTGTTTTCATTGTTGCGACGACCACTCGACGACTTTTTTCCACCGTGTGGAATTCTCTCTCAGGAGTCGACAAAACGGATTTGTTAATCAATCCTGCGTACCACTACGTTTGCATGCTTTGCTTGATCGAGTTCGGAGACTAAAGCGAACGAAAGAAAAAAAAAAAAAAGAGCAAAGAACAGGAGATAACGTAAGGACGGCTCGATCGATTGAAAACGACGTCGGTCGAGCTGAAAGATTCCACGTACTTTTTTTTATTTCTATCTCTCTCTCTCTCTCTCTCCCTCCCTCTCTGTCTCTCCCCCTGTTCTCTCGTAGCTCCTGTATTTTGTATAATTGAGTTTGTTGAAGTTTGTAGCGTTATATCGCGTAGAGTCTACGGGACTTTTGTTTGCTCGCCGAGAGTATTTTTCACGATACGTCGAGACGTTGTTCGTGTATATATATATATATATATATATATATATATATATATATAAAGTTACAGCGACTTATATATCCATCCGTATCATCTGGCTGCAAACATCCAATCGAATACGAATACTTGAATTTTCTAAATTCTAACAGTTTCTAAAATTTCATTGCTAAAATTCTGTAGTGAATTTTACTACAGTTACAAAGTTATAAAGCTTGTTAGTTAGTTAGATTATTTATTTGTCAAATGTTGTTACTATTTATTATTTATTTAGCGTCGCCAGAGTTATGCTAATTTCATCAAATTAATATTGACTATATTCAAATATCTCTAAGAGAATTTTCTCTAAGAGAGCTCTGAAACTCTGCAATTTTTCCACGAATGAAAAAGCAATATCAATCGTATATTTTTCTCTGTATCATTTTGTACAAGAGAAATTCTTGAATCTATCACTCTTGCTTTTATACGTTAATAAGTATACGTTATAATTATTACACGTTGATAATTATTAAGCAAGTGTAACGATTAATCTACGATTAAAACTCGCGCGATTGGATGGCCGCAGCCAGAGCTGCATATAAATCATGCACTGCATACATTATTTTGCGTTGTTACTATCGCATAGTTCATGCTAGTTACAGAAAAAAACAGAGCATGTCTATTATGTATTCGTAATCGTACATAAAGTAGACGGACGAATGCGAATTTCCCCAATTTTGGATGCAAAGACAAGTACATACATGTATAAAAATTATTAAGTACACGGACCCGTGCTGCGCCATTTTGATGAAAGAAGAACGAACTCTCGCCTCGCCTGGTTACTTCCTGGATATTTTTCGTTTGCGCAAATAAGTTTTAATTAACTTCAAATTACGCCCAGTTTGACTAATTTCCATTTCAATTACGTGTTATTTATACAGTGAGAGCAACACTGAGAGATGTGTATGATGTAACTCGCATAAAGATGTAAGGAAGGGGCAAACAATTTTTCCAAAAAATTAATGAAATTTTCCCGTGAAATATATACGGTTCTCTTTTTTTTTTTGTTTTGTAAATGCATTCAGCGGATGATGGAAACACGTTGGAAACGAATAACTTGTTACACCGCCTCACATATTTATTAGAATTTCATTATCATGCTTGAGAGAGGGGGGGAAAAAAAGGGGAATGTTCATTTTGCTGGACGATTAAAACGCAACGAATTATTGGAAATTTCAACGAGCTGAATTTTTATGCGTCAACGAGGAGAATACGCTTTCAATAATTTTCACGGCGCGCGTTTCATTTTGACAGTTTCGGTACATCAAATTGTTTTATAGTAATCACCTTCTGTTGTATAATGAAACAACGTCGATAATATTTCGTTGGAATTGCAATGATACGCACTACGTGGAAAGGATTATCGGGACTGGGATTTCATTGTTCGAAAAACCGAGCCAATGTTTTTTTTATACACACGCGAACAAAAAAAAAAGAAAAAAAAAAGGAAAAAATATACAGAAATTAAATGTCATACGCGTCGAAAAGCAAAGAATCGCTTCGCCATGAAAATTTTGGGCAATCGGGAATCGTTTTTGACAGTCATCCTCTTTTATTGCATATGTGGGAGATTGAAAGAGGATTATTTATTACGAATCGCCGTTGAATGGTGAAATATGAAGAGTTATACTATCGCCAGTAATTAAACATTTCCATATACGTACGTGAAAGTTATATTTGTTGAAAAACACTTTTACCGTGTTCATCCGGATTTCCTTCTGTAACCGGATCCGATTAATCTGCTCGAACAAATTAACTTGGGACAATTCGATTTATTATTAATTGAATTCGAGATTTTAATATCCAATTTAAAAAAAAATTTGACAGATCCAATTGAACAGAAAGGGATTTTTCATCAAAATAATCGATAATCGATTTAGAACTCTTCTAGTCTATGAATCTGTCGAATCTAACTAATTTAACTTCTTGCGTTGGACGCACGCACATCGAGAATTTTTTGCACCAAAATTGTCATACTTTCTCAGTTTTAAGTGTATTTAAGTTAAAGAGGAAATAGGCAAAACGAATAATAAATTTATTACTTGTCAGTCATTTCTATCCAGTGACATCATACCGACGAGAATTTCAAATAGAAAGCTTACGAACTATTGCATACGACTCGGTCACTCGTTATGGTCCGCAGTCAGTTTTGCCAGCGCGAGTGATTAAAAATCCCTCGCGCGAATCCGTTATCAATAATGAACTTACAAAAATTCTGCGAGTGCAGTACTTACTTCTCAATGCTGCAAATATTTCAATTTCACGATCTCTCGCCGACACGATTAATGAAACCGACGGTGCATCGACAGACGCTTGAATAAAAATATCCAGGAAGCGATGCCGGTCGTCAAAGGGCGAAGGGCAGAAACGATTCGTTCGTAAAGAGTTCTCCGGTCACGTGGAACCGTTTGAAACCGTTTCGTACGCGATCTCCTTCGAGGAAGTTAGTCAACGTTAATTAAATTCACAGCGTCGCAAACTTCGGGCCGGAAAGAACGTTCTCTGATTAAACACGCTGGCGGCGCGCTCGCGAGGATCGTTTCCGGCTGGCGCAGCGCGGGTCTCGTTCTCATCGGTAGCGTCTCACTAACACAGAAGAACTGATTCGTTTTCTGCTCTACTTTTTTAATTTGGACTTGCTAAACAAAACACAGACAGTAATCGGGTGGTCGAGCTGGAGGAACGCGAACAGTAAGTACAAAAGAAAAGAAATAGATAAAAAGAAAGAAAGAAAAACGCAGAGCATCCTAACACTCTTCGCTTTTGTTTTCTCCTACCTTCTTTGTTTCAATTTCTCTTGCGTTGGGTCTTCTCTGCTTCTTCTTGCTCGTTCTCTTCGCTTCTTTCTTGCCGCCCTTCTTTCTCGCGCACTTTGTTGCTTTCTTTCGACTCTTTCTCTCTCTCTCTCTCTCTCTCTCTCTTTCTTTCTTTTTCTCTCTCTTCCATTGCACAGTAGCAATTCCTGTTTTATAGCGAGATGTTAGCCTAATTTCCGGCGGCCTGATCTTCGCCTGATAAATGTATTTTTCGCTGCATGCGCAATTCACCGCACGCTAATAATTCAGTAGAATTATCGGCACGCTGCTCGGCGTGTACAGAAAGTATTCGAATGTTCACGTAGACTGTATGCGAAATATTCGTGTTTTGAAATTTCATCGGCACCGCTGACTCGCCTCGTCATGATCGGTAAAATTTAATCAGTAAAACTTAAGACGGACAGGAGATCATGAGACACTTAACGCAATTATACATTTCCCAGAGATCACAAAACTGTTACTGTCCATTTGTATCGATAAATCTCGATAGTCAATGATTTAGCACTTGAGTTCTCAGTGTCTCTTTGGATCATAATAAAATTTACGTTCTTCGTGATATATAGAGATCGCAGGTAATAAAATTTAAAGCTCTAAAAACGAGTAATTCAATGGTTAGGCGTGTCTTTCTTAAATGATATCATTTAAGAAAGAGTCTATCTCAATTTTTTATCAAATACGCATTTGCGATAAATATTTCGCGATAACTTCAGAAATCGCAAAACTGTTACTGTCCATTTGTATCGATAAATCTCGATAGTCAATGATTTAGCACTCGAGTTCTCAGTGTCTCTTTGGATCATAATAAAATTTATGTTCTTCTATGATATATAGAGATCACAGGTAATAAAATTTAAAGTTCTAAAAACGAGTAATTCAACGGTTAAAGTTCTAAAAATGAGTAATTCAACGGTTAGGCGTGTCTTTCTTAAATGATATAATTTAAAAACGAGTCTACTCGCTATATCAATTTTTTATCAAATACGCATTTGCAATAAATATTTCGCGATAACTTCAGAAATTGCGAAAACTTTCGCAGAAATCGCAAAACTGTTGCTGTCAATTTGTATCGATAAATCTCGATAGTCAATGATTTAGCACTCGAGTTCTCAGTATCTCTTTGGATCATAATAAAATTTACGTTCTTCGTGATACATAGAGATCGCAGGTAATAAAATTTCTAAAAATGAGTAATTCAAAAGGTCCTAAAAATGAGTAATTCAACTGTCAGGCGTGTCTTCCTTAAATGATATCATTTAAGAACGAGTCTACTCGCTATGTCAATTTTTTATCAAATTTGCAACAACACATTTGCAATAAATATTTCGCGATAACTTCTACCTATACACGTGTCTTGACCGATACGATTACGACTGGTCGTGTCTCGGGTTGTTAATGAAATTTCAAAGTACTTCATACTTCGCGCATACAATATTGGACGTGCAAGAGTTTATAGCAAATACTTTGCAAGCCGTGTGTATATACACGTTCGGTGGATCGTAAATTTTGTATGTAGATGGGTATATACATGTATATACGATTTTAACCACGAGTCGGCCGTTACCCTGGGATACCAAACTCGACGTAGGTAAATCTCGTTATACGATTGATCGATGGAATTATCGGTTTCGCGTATCGTCGGTTTAGCTAGCGACGCGCAACACCGAGCCCCGGGTCCTGTGAACTCCCGTTTCGATCAAGTGGAAGGATCTCTTTTTATGGCACGGATTATGGGCTCTAGAGCCGTAGAGAAATGGATGCCTTCTTCGCGATCATTTCCCGGCGAACGTCGCTCTTCTGCGCGCTGTTTTTCGTCCGATTCTACGCGTGACGCAAGCTTCCGGTGCGGTGGGATACATCTGGAAATGGGAAATGGAGTTTTCGATGGGAGGCTTTGTTTCTTCGGGGAAATTGCCTCTGAGAATGATCGAGGTACATCGGTTTTTTTTATTTTATTATCATTAAAGACGTGCTCCTTTCTCTGTAAGTAAAGTTACTCGTTCCATACTTGAAAGTATGCGTATTTTTTTTTTTTTCTTTTGTAAGTTGAAAAAAGGAACGTGTCAACTATTAAGTGTTCTGGAAAGTGTAGCTTTAAACTGTAGTTTGGTCAAAACGAAGCTCTCCGGTGTATTCCTTCCAATGAGGAACCATTCGCCTAGTGCACGCTCTTTTAAATATCAAGCACACTGCGAATCTTTCGAGGCTTCTCGCGAATAATTTGTTGATAAAACGCCCTGCACTGTAACCACCGGCCGATCAGACATAATCAAAATCACTTTCCTATATCATCGCGGCGTATCGCCAAACATTTTCACCCCGTGGCGCACCCGGCACACCACCGATAACATGAATGTCACAGTATAATATTTTTCCAGAATTTGAAACGAGTACGTTCAACGCTGTTAAATGGAGTGTCTATTGCTGTGTATATATTTATATTACATTAATCGTGCCGTATATAGTATCGAATGTACATATCGATAAGGGCCGTGACTTGCCGACTTTATTAGTATGCGTTAATGTAACCAGCAGCCACTGTGATGTGTGTTGTGTGCACGAGATTGTCTCCGATCTCCAATCTCGCAGGAAGTCCTCTCCCTTACCCAACATAGCCTCTCTCTCTCTCTCTCTCTCTCTCTCTCTCTCTGTCTTCCTCCACGCCTGAATGCATGTCCTGTTGCATAATTTAGTGACCACTTCCGGCTTATAATAGTTTACTGTCGAAGTCCGCATAGAGGTAAGTCAGGTAAGGGTCGCACGTGCAAATGAATAGGGTAGCAAAGTTCTTTGTTATTCGAATGTAGCGCTGTGCCCGTTTGTATTGCATAATTTAGGGACGATTAGTTATACTGGCTGGCCCTTTTCCTGTCTCTTTGTTCTTACTACTTCGTCACACACACACACACACTCTCTCACTCTCTCTCTCTCTCTTTATCTCTGTCTCTCTCTGTTTCTCCTTCTCTTTCTTTTCCTCGCTCTGTTACACTCTATTGCAACTGGCCTTCTCTATTCTATCCGGCTCGCGGAGACACTTTCGGAGGTGAAAGGTAGGTGAAGGGTTGCATGCCCGATGAGTAGAAAGCTCTCTCTTATTGAGTTGGCTGTCGTTCAAATCGTGACCTGAAACGAAGAATCCTTTTGGCGGTAGCGAATTTTTTCGGCACGCCCCGCGCACAAGCTACTCCACGCCCGGTGAATATTTAACCGGCGTTTCTTTTTTTTTTTTTTTTTTTGGAGGGCTCTCGCCACTGGCCCGGGCTCAATATGAAATACACGATGAAATTAACGTACCGCGATGTTCCGGTCTTTTATTTTTCCCCTCTCTGTCTCTCTCTCTCTCTCTCTCTCTTTCGTTTTTTAAGAAAAATTCAATTACCGAATCCGCGTGATTGTCGGGAGAGATTATTATGCACGTTCGTTCGTGCGGTGAAACTTATCGGGCGGAAACTTGCAGGGAAACTATGGTGTCGATTCTGAAACATAAGATGAAAAATAATACGTCAAGGACGTATATTTTATTAGCGAATTAGCGAATTGACAAGTGACGAGTTACACGTCCGATGGTACAGCTGGCAATTTTACGATTTGCAAGGCTATAGTTTCTTATTAAAATTTAACTTTTATTGAATTTTAAATTTCGTTATTTCATTAATACGCAACGTGTCGTTTATAAAATTTCGCCAATTTATACACCGCCTAAAAATATTTCACTGTTTCATTATTACGCGACGAATCTGATAACTCGCAACGTGTCGTTTATGAAATTCTGCTAATTTATGCCGTGTAAAAATCTGGGTGACAAATTTATCAGAAAATCTTGACTGAATTTTCCACGCGGAATATTAACGTCGTCGCTTCGTTGACAACGTGATAAATTTAACAAAGATCTGACGTGTATTGTCGGATTTCCAAACAGTGGTACGATTTATACGGATCATAAAAAAAAAAGGGGGAAAGGGGAGAAAAAACGCGGATCGTTTGTATCTTCCCTTTAAATTCTCATGTACCATCATCAGAATTTCATGTCCTTTCGCCACTACGCTTTCTGCTCCGATTCGATATCCGGCGCACATCTCTGGTCGAAACAGCAGCGAATTAAAAAAGATGGACTGGCATTTCACAGCGCGACGCTTTTGATGAATTGCCAGCGTTCACGCATATCCTATGCATATGCAATTCGTCATGAAGAGGGTGAAAAAAGTCGAATTTTATTATCGATGCCATCACGATACCACCGCGATTTTTTTTTGAATTTCTACTTAACAGAGTCGAGAAACTTAAATTTGCATTTAACGCATCACCTCTTTTTCTTTTCTTTTTTTTTTTTTTTTCTGTTCATCGAGAATCTGTAATAATACGTTCTCATCTAATCGTCGTATCTGATAGCTAGAAAAAACAAATATAAAAATATGATAATACCACAATTTTCAAATTTAAATCCTTTTTTTTGTAACACGTCAGTGTTAAATTTTTGTATTCTCACAAATATTTCTACGTGGAATTCTTTCGTGACAAATTAAAATACATGATCGAATTTTATTAATGCTACTACAATATCACGTAGTTTCTGGTATTGTCGTTTAACAAAGTTTTTCCTCAAACTCGGCACAGAGTCTTACGTATTATTCGATTATTTTGTCGTTTATTACTCGATGGGAAGATGTACTAATAAATTTCTAAATTACATAAAATACATAAATAATCCCAAACTATATAAATAATTTTCTATTAGTAATATCGCAGCGTACTAGTAAATTTCTAAACAAATAAAATTCCGAATGAATGATATTCTAAACAAATGGCTGGTAAATGTTCTAAAACCCTCCGCTTTGCATCCTTCCAGTTTCCAAAGGCTCGTCACTTGACTTGAACTCCGCGTATAATTACGTCCCTTGAAAATGTTTATTCTCTGGGGAAAAAACCATAAACATCGAACTACCACCCGCAGTTTCATAGAATTTCTAACTGTAACGTTACGTTAATTAAGGAAAATCGCGCGTTATGGAATGATTCGTCGGATGCATGTCGACAATGGAAAAAATATTTGGGAAATGCTTGTGAAACGGGGCGATCGGCCGAAAGTTTAATTAAAAAGTTGGAACGAACGGAGCGCGTGTAACGTTCGATAGACGACTTTTGTACGGGGCAAAGCAAACCGAAAGGATTCTTTGTTCAGTTTTATCGTTCTGTCTTCGATAGTAGCCTTTCTCTGATGTGCTGCGCCCATATCGTTCCTGTTACTCGCGTGACTCGAGTTCACTTCCCTTAACCTCTTAGCTGTGGTGCCATTTTTTTTTAAAAAGCGTGTATCTATAATACATGTGTGTGTTTATACGACGATTATACTCGTCAAACACTCGGGTACATGTAGCTGCTGCAAGATTGAATTAAATTACAAGGAAATGACGCTAGTTTCCTCTTTTTTAAAAAAGTCAATAATATTTTATTGTCTAACTTAATTGACATTAATTAATAGCAAGAAATAAACTAGCCAAGTTGGTCTCAAGATATTCTAAATTGTCACGCATTTACAAATGTGTTTTATTTCCTAGAAGAAATTGAACTCATGTTTACAAATTGTAACTGCTTTTCTCGCGTGACGAGTATACTCGTCGTTCAGAACCGAGAGGTTAAGAAACGTTTATAACTCGTATAAATCGTCGAAGGAACGAGGAAAGCTAATGTTTTTCTCTGTTAACTTAAGCAGTGAAAAGTACAATTCACTCGTATTGTTGGTTATGCGACAGTGAACGTGCTCGAAATTTTCCCAAGTCACACCTTGTCCTTTTTTTATACTTTTATACTTTTATACTGGTTTCAGTGCTTCAGCGTAATTGGAACATTCGCGTACCTTATATCAGAAGATTCAATTAAAAATGATAATGCAAAACAAATTAAATAATATACAATTAGAACTGGATAACGAATGAATTAGATTTCGTTGCGATTAGAAACGATAGTGCAAAACAAATTGAATAATAAACAAATTGCATCGACATAGTGAACGAGAGATGTAAGGATAATGAAATTAATTCGCGACAGTTTACAACAGAAATTAAAGCTTTCTAATGTATCAAAAGTTTGCGGTATATTTCGTTACGATTAAGATAACGAAGAAGTATTTAGGCAAGAGAAAATCGAAAGGTTGATTCGTGACGAACATTATTGATAATGAGCAATTTTTTAAATAAACGTACTTCGTTGCAATGTCACAGCATCGAGATAACAGAGAAGACGCGTCTCGATAATCCTTATCCGCACTACACGCCTCCCTTATTTCGGTTAATTTTGGTAAATTGATGCTTTGAAGTGATTAATTACTATAGAATCCTATACAAGTGAAATTCATAACCCTAGTAATAGATTGCCTGTCTGTAACCTGAATAATGTAACACCATAATGCTAACAATGCACTTCATTCACCTTATTCAAGTACGCATGATAAATCTTCATTCCTAAACAAGTTACCTAATTCATCACCGATAACTCACTGATGTATAAATCCATTCATTAAAATCGAAAGAACCGTTAATATCGTTTGAAAGCCCTTTTGAATTTTCGTTGAGTTTATCACGCGTATCCTTACAAACAAGATCGTAGAAGTCTCACTAGAAATTAAAAGTTCTAATTGGATTGAGATGTACAACATACATGTTTTATAAAATACATTTGTTACAGTAAACAGTTTTTTAAAAAATTTATAGTATAAGATTACTTTTATTTTCATTCACTTAACCAATTATCCAATGAAATTAATTATTAGACTCTGGATATTCATTCAAACTCATATTTTCGCAAAAATGATTAAAAGGAAAACCTTTTTAGAACGGAGTTAAGCTACATTTGTTCTACATTTCGGATATTTCCCCTATGTCCTGTGCATTGTTGCGCCTTTAAACCTTAGCTTACCTTCAGCGCTACATAGAACGCCGCAGTCTGTAAAATAAACACTAGTAGAAACCAAACCTTTTTGCCAAAAATTCCATTCACGAGCGCTTTCACTGTCGTCACAAAAGACGGGGCAAAGAGAGTCCGAACCGAAATATTCAAAAGAGGCGCGATCAAAGAAAAATCCTATCTCTGCGGGCCCTTTCTCTGCGGGCTCCGCTAAATCAAACTGCAGAGAACAAATCCTCGTTTCTCTGCGACGATCTGGCAGGAACGATCGGGACGCAGCGTAGCGAAAGCTCGACCTAGTTACGCGATAACCATTAGCTTGACACCGCGTGAAAAAAAAAAGAAAAAAGAAAAAACACACACACACACACACACAAACAGTCCAGACGGTGGGCCACCGAGTCCGACGGTGTCCTCTCATTCGACCCAAACGCCGGTACACCCGACGGCTGCGCCAAGATGGCCACTGAAACCGGGCGTGTTGGTGCACATCAATCGGAGCCACAGCCTGAGGTCAGGGCTGAGCGTTCGCGCGAACGAGTCGCTGCGAAACGAGCTGATGAACAGGCGTAACGACGACGAGCCGACCATCGCCGATCGTTTCATCGTGGAGACAACGATCGCGAAGGTCGCCAACGGTGGCAAAGTGTTTCGAAGACGGAAGGAGAACGGGCAGAGAAGCGTGGCCGTGTCCGGTCTGCATGACGAGGGTATGCTCGCCAGGGCTAATAAAATTAAGGCGATGTTTGGAGTGCAGCTTAAAGAGCAGGCCACTCTGCCGGGCATTTCCAGAGAGAAGACAGGTGAGTCGTAGCATAGAGCTACCTGCTGTCGCTTTAATGTTGGCACGTTTCGAATTTCGGGAATTTTCGTTTGTCCCAAACTGAGTGAGCACAGTAAAACTTGGGAAAAGTAGTTTCGAACAGTAGTGGAGACTTTTTATAAATACAAAGCACGCGCGCGTGCGTGTACTCGCGCAGTCTTGGAAGTCTTTGGGCAAGTATCGCGGCTGTTTCAAAATTGAGATATATCGAACAAGGTCGCGGAAATCTTTTACGATAATATATCACACGTGTGTTGCGCGCACTCGAGACTCTTTGGGCAAGTATTGCTCAAATTGTGTCAGAATTGGGAACGTTAAAATAATACTTTATATTAGAAAGAGGTTATAAAGTGAAAAAGTCACTTACGACGAATGCTGAATGTAATAATTGAAAATAAAATACGAGACATTCCGAATTTGTATCTGCTTGTTTCCTTTTGCTAAATATACGATCACACCTCGCAATTTTTTATTTTTTATTCTTTATTCTTACAGCATTTTGCAGGTTTTATAACACTTAAAATAATATAATCATGATTGGACTGTGGATGTTCGTGCAATTTCACATTTTTATGAACGTCGTTTATAAAATAGTATGTTACAGGTATATTATATATATATATATATATATATATATATATATATATATATATATATATATATATATATTACATGTTACAAGTATATTATATTTTTTTATAAGCTAAATTTCCCACAAATGTACCATGACGATCGTATTTTCTTTCTACAACAGTAATGAAATTTCCAAATGTTTTATACAAATCGTACAATGCGGGTGTAGCATGAAACATACTTTAATGCATTTTATTCAACACTTGAAAGTTTTCCACGGTGACTGTCCAAATAGTTTCGTGAGCCACGGTATCCTTTTGCACGGGCTGGTAATCAGCTGGCCACCGGTTCGTTGAGAATTTTAGCGCGAGGACGCAGCTGTGTTTCAGCCGTTTCGTGGCCAGAGGGGAAAGGTTAACTCGATTACGAAGGATAGTAGTTCTGTGACGGATAGCATATCTGGGAAATATAGGACGAGGGGAGAAAAATTAGGAAGTATAATGTAAATTTAATGCAAGGAGCTTAAAGGTCTGTGGATTGAGAAATAGGATCCTCCCTCTTTCTCTCTCCGTCTCTATCTCTCTGTCTCTGCGTCAGTGTGTTAACTTTGTGCCGCTAATTACTCCTGAAAGCGCTGTCGGGCTTCGTTAATGCCCGCGGACATCACTTTATCAGTTTCATTTTGTTAAATCGTGTTCGAAGATTGCAATGTGATCTCATTTGAAGTTCTTTAAATGACGCAGGTTATACGGGACGAATTGTGGCACGCACTTTTTTAACAAATATCCGAACGTTCTAATCAATCTGCAACAATAGTTAATGAAGCTACATTCATTATATTTTCTGTGAAACAATGTCTATAAAGTACAGCAGTGGGTACAGAAATATGTAATATATTATATTATCTATTATTATTATAGATATTTGTCAAGATATAAAAGTGCAATAAACTGTGTAAAATATAAATAAAATATAGTAGAATATATATATATATATATATATATATATATATATATATATATATTATTTATATTATTTATATTTGTATTTAGTAAATGAAACAAATATCTGCTTATTTAATTTCTATCAATGATTAGCATTTACTCTGGTTTATTTCTACTTAGTTGTCCATATAAAAATATAAAACCGTAAATAAAAGATCCACAGTCCATTTATTACATTGTATCAATTTCGATATCAAAACGGAATTTGTTTTTTTCTTTTACGACAAAAATATTACTCCGTCACTATCGTTAGTCACAAATCACAATTCATCCTGTACAGAGGAATGAAATGTAAGTTTAATTTTTTTTTTTTTTTTTTTATAAATATGTATAACAAATAACTCTATGTACCTATATAATATAATAAAATTTCGAGTTTTAATCGTTCGAAACACTTTTCTCGCGAAAGTATCTCCACGTTTCCGGCGATGCTCCGTTCAATCGTGGAAATTTCATGTCCCAGAATAAAATCGTAGCAAAATTAAAATTAAACTTTACTTATCAATCAAATCAGATGACCGCGCTTAATTAAAAATACAACGGCTGAACAATTTCGCGCTGCTTGCCCAAGTCGAATATTTGATCGAATATTTAATAAGGAAACAGACCACATTACATTAAACAGATGATCCCGATATCTGTTCGAATGAAAATTCGTACAACGCTTGCGCGTTGATCTGCCAACATTAAAAACTGTACAGTCGATACAACACGCCTACTACAGGATGGCCACTGAAAAACTGAGAGGTTTGAAAAAGTCATAATTTGTGAGCTGGAAAATAGTGATTATTTGAGGGATGTTGTTTTTCACATAGTGGAAAAAATCCATTAATTATATTTCCAAGTAAAATAATAAAAAATCTAAAAAAAACATATGTTTTGTAAAAGTTATTTTTGTTTTATATTATTCAGTCTTTCAGTGAACAGCCTGTATTGAATCGGCTATCCAACTATTCGATATTCCTATGAAACGCAAATTATTTCTGTGTTTGCCTGTGCGACTGATATGTTTTACCTTGAATTTTTTATTGAACAGCTCGTGGAATTTTTCCACCGTTGGGAACAACTTGTTAATAATTAAGACAGAATAATTCGACAGGAAAAAAAAAAAGAAAAAATTGGAAAACCTATAAACACGCCTGTATAAATATTTTTCAGAATACGTTTAGAATGTATGCAGTTGGTTAATGATAATTAAAATAATACATTTAATTGATATTCTTCTCATAAATATAAATCACTACGATGTTAGTGATACATAATTATAATTATAATTTGTATCCTATCACTGTCATCGACGATTTTCATCGCGTGAAAATTCAACACGGGATGCAAATTGAAATGAAACGTCACGCTTGAATTAAGAAGCTTGTTCATAATTCAAACTGTGAACCATCGACATTAATTAATTAAACATCGGATCTGAAAGTAACGAGAGAAAAATGCAGGCGTGTTTGAGACGGAAATTTTCCAATTAATGGAGTGTCTAACGAAAGATGGAAGCTCGGAGAGTAGTATTAATTTTCCAATCGTCAAATACAATTTAAATCGTCATTCTTCGAGGTATGTGTTTGCCGATCGTATAATTTTTCAGTAATTCACGTGAGAACGTAATTGAAGAAATCAAAGCATCGTGCGGACGAAAGGTAATGACGCCTGTCAACTTGTAATTAGTATGTTTTACCGCAGCCTGTATCAGCATGTGCATCAAACGTGAGCGAACTACGAAAAAAATAAAAGCAGAGAGAAAAATTTCAAGTCTACGCCCCTTCAATTAAATATGCCGATACGAGAGAATCGCGTTTTAATTAATATAATTTCGTTTCACCTCTGACGTTCATTTCAAGTTCGCGAAACTGCATTCGTGAAATTGCATTTTCTTTTTCTTTTCCCATTCATTTTTTTATAGAGCTCTTCTTTTAATTAGTCGTTACGCGGCAGCGTTACAAATGCTATTCTCCCCTGAGTAACCTCGTTTCGTATGTTTTCTCTTCATTTAGCTAAACTAAAGCCAACTCTGATTTCCTAATTACCCGAAAAATCAAAGGCAAACGCAATTTGCAAAATTATGTTGCCACGGCGGCGCGAAATCTGTGCGGAATTACGTTTATAACACTCGAGGACAGGAAAATATGCATATAAATGGAAACTTGCAAGGGAAAACGTTACAAACGACGAAACGGAGGAAAGTTGTGTACAAAATAATTCTCTCTTCAATTTTAATTCTTCAAAAAAATGCCCCTACAAATTCCCCGCGATTGAATTCCCCCTTGATGGGAAGAATCTACGCTTTAGTCGCTAGAATTAATCCACAATTCTCTCGGCGAATTGAAAACTCATTGGCTCTTTAAACGTTCACTTGTTTCAATTTATCCAACACGATCGCTCGTCTAATTTTTACAAATTAAAATGATCAACCGATTCATTTATTTAAATTATATTGCAGACCTCGTCATTTCTCGTGGAACTCGCAGAATGAAATGAAATTTGCAAAAAATAACGAAAGACAAATTCATGTCCAATCGATTGTTATTTAATAAACGATGACACAGCGTGATTATTATTGACAAGTATTGAGCCTGCACGAATCCTTGCTTCACCCGTTCGCTGTTTCTGCTTGTTCCTGCCTCCCCTGTTCTTTTCTCTTTTTTTTTTCTCTTTTTTTATTTATTTTTTTCTTGTATGTGTTTTGTCTTGTGTCCCCTTAGCTGTGACTTACAAAAGAATAGCGCCGCGACAGCGGATACTGCATGCAGAGCCATCGTGCCAGCCGAATCGAGGCAACGTCTCCCGTAAGCGAAAGAAACCAGGCGCAGGTACGTACCAAGAAATCGTAGAAACGTGCATGATCAACGGCGCGATCTAACAACGAGCTGTAACCAGATCTTCTCTCCCTTTCACGCCGATCTCGGCCAACTTTTCTCGCGGACGAGCGAGATCTCTTTTTTAAACAGTGTTCCCTACGTCCCAGGAAACTGTATAAAAATATAAAAAGAACTTCAAACGATCAACGAGACGATCAATTAAACTGATAAATAATCCGAGTTACTGTCATTTTCTTTTTTTTTGTTTTAATTAAAGCGATGTGATATGTATGTTAATTATAAAGATTCGTGTTTTGCATCGTTGATTGGTAGATTGTGACAGAGACGGGGTTCGTCTCTGCGTCGAAACAATTTTATGACAATTTCATGACGTGGAATGAGAAAAATGTGAGTAGCATAAGAGCGAAGAACATCGAAACGAAAGCAATTTTGCAGTTTAACCCAAACCCTTGTGAATAATTACAACGTGAAGCGTAAAGAGAACAAACGTAAAGAGAACAATCGAGATTTCTGTACAGAATGATCGAAAGAGATCTCGTTGTATCGAGACGATCTTTAAACTCCATTAAATCAACAGAAAAAAAAAATATATATATATATATCTGTGCAAACACATTTGTTAAACGCACATTAAACGTACATTTTACGCGATAATTAAACTCAACCGCGAAAAGATACGTATTACGTGTAATTATTAGAACCGTCAAACGCAATATTTATAAAAAAAAAAAGAAAAGAAAAAGGAAAAACATTGAGACAATAATAAAAATAAAACAAGAGATACATCGTAAATTATCCTTCGACGTTTTGCGTCACGGCTTTGTGAATTTGTAATTCACGCGCGAAATAATACCTGGGCCCGGTGGAAGCTTACACACGGTCGAAAATAATAATTTCATCTGGCAAATATTTTCCGGCCGGTAGTTGAAAAGAAATTGCAGCCAGTCAGTTCCAGATTCCAGAATCACCCTCCGCGCATACATACTGTTTAATTAAACGATTCATTTTGGTAATGGAATCGCTTTAACGTAGCAAACTGATACAAAACCGGGGCTCTAAAACGGGAAATATTATTTCGATACGACCTTTCCGCGTAATGAAACCGAGCTCTCTCTCTCTCTCTCTCTCTCTTTCTTTCTCTGCTCTCTGGTCTTCTCTCGAAACCGATCCGCGTATTTCCAAAATATGTAGGTGACGGGGTAATTTCTGCTTTGACGCGTAGAAATGAGCAAACATGACGTTTCTGCCGGTAGTTCGTTCGTGGAATCTAATTGAGAAACGGAAATATTTGCAGTATATCACTGAATTAACGGGGGCAGGACAGTTTTGACGGGCCTAAAAGTTACGAATACTTTAGAGAGCTAGTAAAAAAAGAGTACATATTTGATTGACGATAAGTTATTATGTTTTATTTTAACACGTTGTGAACTATAAAAAGCAACATTGAAAAGAGAAAGAAAGAGGGCTCTTATTTAACTTTTCAACGGTCATTCTCTTACATAACTTTTTCTTTACATTGCCTGTCGGTGTGCATGATTCCAGCCAGACAGGATTAGTTGCAACAAAAAGGCAAAAAGAAGTTCAAAAGTAAACAATATTCTCTAGGTATTGACAAGCCAACATTTTCATTTCTGTGAAAATTATGAAAATAACAGCTGTTTGTTTCTGATGTATCGAATTTATGCCAAGAATTTCTACGTTTATGTTTCTCGAAATTGTTAAAAATTAAAAAAATGTTCGATCGTGATGTTCAATCCCTAGTAAATGTTGCGCTAAACATACGTACCAAGTTTCACAGTAATCGGTTGTACTTAGTCGAAGAAATTGTAATCGTATAAACACAAATAATTTCAATTTCGTTCGTTTTAAAAATTATTTGGAAACGTGTGTGCCTCACACTGAATAATTTTAGAAAAAGTAACTTTATTTCTAAAATGTCTCAGTCATTTCAATTTGTTCCATTTTTTTTCATTCTATTCGAAACGTAGTCCATGCCTGTCTAGGGACCGACGCGATTCAATCCCATTGTTGGCTCGTTATAAATCCCGTACGTATAAACATTCGCGTGCAAATAACGCGCAACGTGCACACACGCCTATTTACGATACGTAACTACGAGATAATTGTTATTTGCGTAATTAAAACTTTGTGTCGCGCGGCAGGGAAGCTCTTTACGTGAAACGTAATTCTCACTCGATCATCGAGGAAGAAGGGAGGGAAAATAAGATCCTTCTACGATCGTCACGTCAAACATCAGCGAGATTGTAAACGCAGATTATGCTGTTCGCCGATATCTTTTCAAAGATCGACAATTCCCTTGCGTCACAATCAATTTGTTCAAGAGATTACAGGTCAATCCGAAATGTTAGCCGTTTGTTTGAAAAAGGTGGATCGAAATCGAAATTCAACAATTGACAGTAATTAACAATAATTAATGAATAGGTCATTTGACACCAATGTGTTGATACAGAACGGTGTGGCAACAAGTGGACAAAACGAAATCTAAATTGATAGAACATAATACGTTACTATGCGCATAATTATTGCCAGATAGATTATGACTTAATTATACCGTAGACCGTTACTACATAAATTACGATATAATCGTTACTAGATAAATTATAATAACATAATTATTGATAATGCGCAGCAATAATCGGCCGAAGTGAAATGTAAATAATATAAATCTCGGAATATACGATTCACGTGTATATATACATATATATATGTATATTGAATTGAACAAACGAGAAAAGCAAGAGATTTGCCAACAAAATTTACCGACGGAAGTGCCTCGAAAGAGACAGTGCATCCTCTTCTACCGAGCATTACACATTAATTGCAGGCAAATTCATAATTGAATTTAATCGCTGCAAAATTCGCACGAAATAATATATATGTGATAATCAGCAACTGAGATCTATAGGCTACCCTAATTAGACTTGCGAGAAAATTCAACAGTCCAAGAAGCTCCAAATATTCCTCCGTTTACTACACATTTCCTTAGCACTAGAGCATAGTCACTCACTTGTTCTAGCGTATGCAACTACACCTGGATATTTATCGAATCAAGTTCTCTGTCTCTCTATCTCTCTCTCTCTCTCTCTCTCGTTGTCTCTATCTGTCTCCTATCTTCGTGCACCGGAGACTTCCGTTCCACTCTGAGGGTACAAGTCCGTTATGTAGAATCCTTCTTCGAGAAGGGACCACACACAAATTTCTCTCTCTCTCTCTCTCTCTCTCTTTCTCCCCCTCTTTCTATCCTACTGTTTCTCTCGTAGGGTCTGTCACGAACTCGCCGACACGTCACGTGTCCCCGTTTAATTACGCAAAGTCATGTTTCGTTTGCGCTTACAGATCCCAATCAAGCTGCGAATAACAATCACGTGAACAGCGTGTCGGAGGGACTTCCGGAGTCCGGGGCGAAGACGTTTTACGAGAATCTACCCTTCCACGGGATCCAAGCGCCGCCTAACAAGGTCAGTATGTGTCGAGAATCGATCCGTGCACGAGCACTCTTCTCTTTTTCAGCATGATCGTCTTCTTTATTTCTGTCTCTCTCTCTCTCTCTCTCTCTCTCTCTCTCTCTCTCTCTCTCTTCTTTCTTTTTCGTTTTCGTTCGTCTTGACACAGTCAAGTGTCGTCTAGCAATCGGTCCGTAACGGTGATGAAATCTAAATAATTTATATGTACGTCAGAGTTTAGGTTCGAAGTAAATAAATCGATGCAAAGTTCCTGTTATTTTTTTTTCTTTTTTTTTTGAGAAGCTCGTGGGTGTATGATTGGGGATACGTCTGCACCCTCCTGCTAATGTTATAGACTGACATTGTTGGATTACGGATGGCTACAATAACTGAAATTATAATTTTAAGATACTTTCATTTTAATTACTTCAGTTTCGTATCTTGCACATTACGGCGATATTTAACACTAAAAATTGAAGAATATAAATTAAAATTAAACATCATGGTTTATCTATGATCCGACAATATCGGTCGATGGTTTATTATTATTTATTATTGGTGAAATTTTAGTGAAGTCAGGAGCTGCAAATTACCGATTAAGTAACCTTAACGAAATAAATTTGTTTATATAAGAAATACAATCATACACGTTTAGGTTCTAGAAATGAAGGAACTGTTGTCCATTTATCGCAAAGGTCCGTGGTGCGCACCATAGTTCGTCTGAAATTACCAAACATTCGCTGCTCTCCGTTATTCCGCCCTTACTACGAATTACAGTCCATTGTTTGAAATTTTACTTAATTTCCACGATGATATTCTCGGTAACTCGCTGATGGTATTAAATTTAAATAATTAAGCTTAATCAATCAGCACATCAATATAACAGTTTAAGTTACAACGCTCTAAATTCCTATTCGAATTCAATTCTCAATGCTTGAGAACTGACATTACTCGAAAGAAAAACTAGCAACGTTTTTATGTACTCGGAGAGATAAAATAGAGAGAAAAAACGATGGAATTTTAGGTAGGCACGGAATAGTTACATCGAAAAATTTTATTATGCCGCTTACACAGCCAATTGATTCGAAACGCAAACCATCAGGTTTCAACTGTGAAACACAGGGGAGGAATCTTTTTTTCATTTATTTTTTTTTTTTTTGAATTTTTTTGTCGTTTCGCGCAGCACAGCGTCGTTCACCAAACTTCGTTTAACGATACGATATTTTTTTCCTCTGCAAGCGAACGGCTGCATTACGCTGTCGTTTAATAATGTCACGATCTATTACATATGGCGTCCTGCGTCGATATTCGCCGGGGAATAGAAAGGTAATGGGTAAAAAAAAAAAGAAAAACATGATCGGCGTAACGATAACCGTACGGATTGATAACGACGATTTTAAAGTAAGAAAAATGTTGCCAGAAAGGAGACACTACGATGCCAATGTGTAACTACGTTGATCTTTCAAATATTTGAAATTAATTGGTTTTAGAATTAAGATTAGAATCAAATTTTTATAAATACAGATCTTTTTTTGAAACACACGAGAAATTCAGTAAATTATAATTTCAATAAAAAGAATATAGAATTTTGTGTAATGGTATGTGTAATGAAAACCGCTGCTGGTGAATCTATGAATTCTGCTTTAACATGATGTCGCCTATGGTCGAAGGACTGTTAAAAATTTTCTCCTATGATCACAATATATCTCACGGTATAAAATATGATTTTTATCGTATCAAACTTTTTCACTGATTCTTACGAAATTCATAAAACAACCAACAGTCTTTAATTTATAATTAATTAAGAAAATTATATTTCATTAAGAAAATGAACATCCAAAAAAAAAAATACACAACATCAGAGTAATACTTGCTTAAAAACTCACTAATAAAAAAAAATAGAATTTATGAAAGTTCGAGCTGATATTATTCCCTCTAACAACCTAACAAACCTAGAACGACCTACTGATCGAGAATGATCACACCATGAAACAGTAAACCATCGCTATTGAGAGCAAAGTGCTCCGACAACAGTCGAACATTAAGCTAAAGATACGTAATCCCTCAATTACCAAAAAAAAAAAGCAGAATTTCACGTTTGACTTAATTAGCAACGTGAAGCTAAAAATTTCACAACAACGAGTGAAAGAATCGCACAATCTAAAGAGTGACGAAAATTTGACAAGACTCCCGAAGTCTTAGAGAAGAGAAGAAGACCAGTTTTCGATGGCGAAAACAGGGGTAATTTGATTAAAAAAAAAAAAAAAAAGAAATCTACTAGAAACTCAGGATGAAATAATCACGTTATAAGAGGCTCGAGTGGTCGAGTGATCGACCTTGTCTGGGCCTTGGCGTTTTTCCCCGGACAGAGAACGCGGAGAATGCCGGAAACGCCATAGGCAGAAGGGAAGCACGGTGTATTGCACTTTGTACACCGGAACAGAGCCTTCGAGCGTCGGAGAGTCGAGGTTGGAAAATGTTCTCCGCCTCCCACCTCCCCTTCTCCTCTCGTCGCTGATGTTCAACTTCTACTTGGCTCGGCGATGGTCCTTTTCACAGAGACGATTAGAACCGATCGAAATCTGCTTTGCCGATTTCGAGCTAGATGGGAAATGCTTGAATGGTAGAATAAATGGATGGATCTGGACCTGGTCTGCAGCTAGCTATAGGTATAAATGGAATGTAAATGTAGGTGGGTGGGTAAATGGGTATAGACACATTGATTTGAAACAGCATACCGGATTGCTAATGGGTGGGTTTTTAGTGGAGAGGTAATGCGAGGTAATGGAACTACGTTTAAAAATAAAATTGAAATAGGTTGGCACTTGACGGCCGGTGAGGAATACGAGACAATGGAGAAATGAAAAAATACGAGACAATTGAAATGAGCAATAGCAATTTGGTTCTGCAATCCGATTTGCGGTCCTCTTTTTCTTTTTTTTTTTTTTTTTTGTTTTTTTTGCTCTTCGCGCAGAATTCTCTTACTTGCCGATTTGAATTGAATTTTCACGTTCTAGGTGAAATGAAATATACAGATCTTCACTTTCAGTGTATCAATAACGACTTTCAAAAATTTACGTACATATCAATAAATAAAAAATATAAAATTACGTAAATATCAAACTAAATTATATTAAATATTAAACGACATATTGATGATTATTATAATAAATATCAAATTATTGTAATATTTATATATGTAACTATAAATTCTATACAAATATTAAACTATACTACATTGTATAGAAAATAAATATGTGCGTGTGTGTAAAGTAATTAAAAAATTACGCACGATTTAGCGAAACAACAAACAAAACGTGAATTAATAATGGAATAGAAATGCTCGAACTTTTGACTGGTAGATCACAAATGAATCACTCTTAAATTCTCAAAAATATCGCTAAAATATTCTTATACTTTGAGCAATAAAATCGTGGAATTCGTCAAACGTGCAGCTGATCAATTCGGCTCGCCAAGGAAGTTCGCGTAATGTTACAACGTAATAACAGATAACCCGTTAACGAGGATTTAGATCACTTTTTGGCCACCTTTACATAAATAGCGTAATACGAGCCGGTATGCATAAAAAAAAAAAATTCCTCTCGCGTTCGATAGAACCAATAATTAAAAACCGAGCGTAGCGGGCATGTCCGCCGTTAAAAATAGAACGAGCCCACCTGGAAGATTAAACGACGAATAATTCAACGTAGTCGCGGCGCGATTCAATATTTTCACATAATAACATTTTGACCTCGTTTCTGACCTCCTTCCCCTGGAAGCCTTAATGTTTAATACTTAAAACCGTCAACCGTAGTCGCACGTGCGGCCACCACGGAGCGAGCCAGCCATCGATCGATTTCGAAGCATCAAATAATAAACCGGACTCCAAGATCCAACGATGCGGCTAACGCGTTGTCCCGCGCTGAGAAAAGGGAAACGGATACGGAAGGGTTGTTTGCGAGACGGGGATAAATGTTCGACACCGTGTTTCACGGTCACTACTGTCCGAGCTAAGCTTAACAAGTAGCGCTAAGCTATATGGGATTTTTATTTTATCGACGTGCAAAAGACATTCATGCGAGAAACGAAATATGTCCGCTAACGACGATAGTTTTTCTAATTCCTAGACTATTGAATTACTAATTTTATTAATTTTGTTTATCAGTGTTTGATATTTTGCAGTGTAAAGTACAAGGGCAGTCATCTTTGTGAAAATGAGAAATAAATATTTCTCAACAAATTTTTTCGGTCATATCGAATTTCATTTTCGTGGACAAGACTGTGATCTTGATTGTTCTCCGCTGTTCGCGTGATTCTGTTGCCTTTTTGTACAAACGGACATAAATTGCAATCACAAGTTCAAATTACTCGAAATTTCATTAGTGAAAATGAATTTCTGCGTGTGTCTGTCAATTTTTAAATATCCACGCGACAGAAATGGTTATTCACAACGCGTTCGCGGATAATCGTGAATAACGTCAAATGCAGTCACGCGTACCGCGGTAACGCGAAGAATTTCCTCAATTGGACGAGATCTACATTTCGAGTTGCGAGGAATTTAATTTTTCTTGGATAAATATTCACTGATACGTGAGCCTCTTTTCCCAATGTTAAGAAAAACTTTGGACTTTCGTGTAATACTTGAAAAATTACAAAACAGAAGGAAATTTACTGCAAGGAAATAAAGTGAAAGAGTAACAATTATGAAAACACAACTTGAGAGTTGAAATTTACGTTAATCAATGGTAAGGTGACGATTAATCCATTATCATACTCGCGATAAAAATAGTAAAATCGACTGAAACAGTGAATTAAATTGAAAAAAACAAAGTACAATTAATACTTTCCATAACAGAATCATTTATCCAAATTTTCGTCTCACTTAGTTTCAGTTCAAGACCTCGACACTGATATCGAACATCGAAAACAATTTAAGAATACATACGCTCTTCAAAAATGTCACGAGAAATGTCAAGAAAAAAAAAAAGAAAAAAAAAAAGAAGAACACCTTCCAC